TGGCGTGGCCAACAGAGCTGCAAGTTGACCCGGACGGAGTTCATGGGGCCGTGTCACAACTGCTAGCCAAACACGATACAAAGGTCAGGCGGCACGGCTGGAGCCCATCGCAGCCAAGCCATAGTTGAGAGATTTAATAGGACTTTGGCTGAGCGCTTATTCGGACATCAGTATGCTAGGGAGATGGCAACCCCGGGAAAACGATCGACTGAATGGGTCGCGAGGTTACCCAAGGTGGTGTCGGCAATCAACCATGAAGTCACCCGGCTCACTGATAAGAAACCGGCAGACGCTATCAAACTAAAATCAATAGCAGCAGAGTCGGCTGCTCCATTGCGTGGGAAAGAGAAACAGATACCAGATAGGGCCCTAGTGAGGTATCTATACCAGCCTGGTTGAAAGTGGTCCAGAACCCCCATTGTATATACTACTCAAAGACATCTTACACACCCCTGATCGAGGCCACAGTCCTTTCAAATAAATGAATATAAAAGCCTGTTTGGATTATTCAACTTCCTGGATAGCATGAATGTTACCACGTGATCTCACTGCTTCGAACTTGGTTGGAGCAACAAATCTATAATGTTCAAGTGCAGTGTCAACGTTTAACATATGAATGGTAACAGTTTCTATAGAATTTGTACCAAATGACCTTGAAAATATTAAATAATCCCATTTCCATATGAAACAACATGAATTAATTTTCCCGTGAAGATCCGGGTCTGTAACGACCAATGTCAAATGGTGGGTCCCTTCCCATTGTCAGTGACGGGGTCTTAGTACAAGGTTTATATTGTCAGTGACGGGGTCTTAGTACTAAGTATATATTGTCACTGACATGATGATTTCAAGTTTAACCTGGGCTTCTGACTGTAGCCAATGTCGCCGACGGGGCGACAATGTCTATCACTCTTGCCACTAACAGGGTCTTAGCACCAGATATATATGTCGCTGACGGGGTCTTGGCACTAGATACACATGTCACTGTCGGGATCTTAGCACCAGATATACATGTCACTGACGGGGTCTTAGCACCAGATATACATGTCACTGTTGGGGTCTTAGCACCAGATATACATGTCACTGTCGTGGTCTTAGTACAAGGTACATATTGTCGCCGACGGGGCGACAATGTCTATCACTCTTGTCACTAACAGGGTCTTAGCACCAGATATATATGTCGCTGACGGGGTCTTGGCACTAGATACACATGTCACTGTCGGGATCTTAGCACCAGATATACATGTCACTGACGGGGTCTTAGCACCACATATACATGTCACTGTCGTGGTCTTAGCACCAGATATACATGTCACTGACGGGATCTTAGCACCAGATATACATGTCACTGTCGGGGTCTTAGCACCAGGTATACATGTCACTGTCGTGGTCTTAGTACAAGGTACATATTGTCACTGACGGGATCTTAGTACTAGGTATATATTGTCACTGACGGGGTCTTAGTACTATGTATATATTGTCATTGACGGGGTCTTAGGTACCAGATATACATGTCACTGTCGGGGTCTTAGCACCAGATATACATGTCACTGTCGGGGTCTTAGCACCAGATATACATGTCACTGTCGGGGTCTTGGCACCAGGTATACATGTCACTGTCGTGGTCTTAGTACAAGGTACATATTGTCACTGACGGGATCTTAGTACTAGGTATATATTGTCACTGACGGGGTCTTAGTACTATGTATATATTGTCATTGACGGGGTCTTAGGTACCAGATATACATGTCACTGTCGGGGTCTTAGCACCAGATATACATGTCACTGTCGGGGTCTTAGCACCAGATATACATGTCACTGTCGGGGTCTTAGCACCAGATATACATGTCACTGACGGGGTCTTAGCACCAGATATACAGGTCACTGTCGGGGTCTTAGCACCAGATATACATGTCACTGTCGGGGTCTTAGCACCAGGTATACATGTCACTGGCGGGATCTTAGTACTAGGTATATATTGTCACTGATGGGGTCTTAGTACTATGTATATATTGTCACTGACGGGGTCTTAGTACTAGGTATATATTGTCATTGACGGGGCCTTAGTACTAGGTACATGTTGTCACTGATGGGGGTCTTAGTACTATGTATATATTGTCACTGATGGGGGTCTTAGTACTAGGTATATATTGTCAGTACTGTATATATTGGACGGGGCCTTAGTACTTGGTATAGATTGTCACTGATGGGGGTCTTAGTACTAGGTATATATTGTCACTGACGGGGTCTTAGTACTTGGTATATATTGTCACTGATGGGGTCTTAGTACTTGGTATATATTGTCACTGACGAGGTCTTAGTACTAGGTATATATTGTCACTGACGGGGTCTTAGTACTTGGTATATATTGTCACTGATTGGGTCTAAGCACCAGATATACATGTCACTGTCGTGGTCTTAGCACCAGATAGATATACATGTAACTGACGGGAACTTAGCACCAGATATACATGTCACTGTCGGGGTCTTAGCACCAGGTATACATGTCACTGTCGTGGTCTTAGTACAAGGTACATATTGTCACTGATGGGATCTTAGTACTAGGTATATATTGTCACTGATGGGGTCTTAGTACTATGTATATATATTGTCACTGACGGGGTCTTAGGTACCAGATATACATGTCACTGTCGGGGTCTTAGCACCAGATATACATGTCACTGTCGGGGTCTTAGCACCAGATATACATGTCAGTGACGGGATCTTAGCACCAGATATACATGTCACTGTCGGGGTCTTAGCACCAGGTATACATGTCACTGACGGGATCTTAGTACTAGGTATATATTGTCACTGATGGGGTCTTAGTACTAGGTATATATTGTCACTGACGGGGTCTTAGTACTAGGTATATATTGTCATTGACGGGGCCTTAGTACTAGGTACATATTGTCACTGATGGGGGTCTTAGTACTATGTATATATTGTCACTGACGGGGTCTTAGTACTAGGTATATATTGTCATTGACGGGGTCTTAGTACTAGATATATATTGTCACTGATGGGGTCTTAGTACTAGGTACATATTGTCACTGACGGGGTCTTAGTAACTAGGTATATATTGTCACTGATGGGGTCTTAGTACTAGGTACATATTGTCATTGACGGGTCTTAGTACTAGGTACATATTGTCACTGACGGGGTCTTAGTACTAGGTATATATTGTCACTGAAGGGGTCTTAGTACTAGGTACATAATGTCATTGACGGGGCCTTAGTACTAAGTACATATTGTCACTGACGAGGTCTTAGTACTAGGTATATATTGTCACTGATGGGGTCTTAGTACTAGGTACATATTGTCACTGACGGGCCTTAGTACTAGGTATATACTGTCACTGACAAGGTCTTAGAACTAGGTATATATTGTCATTGACGATGCCTTAGTACTAGGTACATATTGTCATTGACGGGGTCTCAGCACTAGGTACATATTGTCACTGACGAGGTCTTAGTACTAGGTATATACTGTCACTGACGAGGTCTTAGAACTAGGTATATATTGTCATTGACGAGGTCTTAGTACTAGGTATACTTGTCACTAACAGGGTCTTAGCACCAGATATACCTGTCACTAACCTGGGTTTCCCTGATGGCCGCCATCATGTTTTGGGAAAACTTTTACTGGTTTATCACGATGGTCTGCAAAGGATCGAGTCAGGATCAGTCATAGAAAAGATTGATTGCATAATCGAAGTTCAAACTCCTAAGGCGATTCCAGAAGCGACTGAATAATGGACCCAAGTCCCAATCAACAAAGCATTAGTAGCTCAATGACATCCATAAGCCTATGTTAAACCATAGAACTATGACAGCACATTACGAATGTTGGATCAGATCAGGGTGATCAGGCCGGTGATATTTTGTATTGTGTGGATCACTTGTTTGTCTGGTATAGTTTTGATAAATTGAAGTTTATTTGCCTATATAGCTGGAATTCTGTAGAGACTTATTATCATCGTAACTCTGAATTCCAATGGGGGTAATTAAAACTAATTAATGCTCATTAACTGAGCATTAAGTGAATGATGACAAACACATATATGTTTGGCTTCTACCATAAAAGAAAGTGTAGATCTGAGTTAGAGTCTTCAGCAACCCATGCTTGTCATAATTGGTGAGATCGTTAGCACTACATCCCCAGCAGCACATCTTGGCAATGAGCACAAATACCATATGGACCTGCTCAGATCTGCCATGTTGGGTACTTCAGCCAAATACCTAGCAGCAGAGCTGTGTTATGACTTATTTTGCTCAAATATCATACAGATGTGCTCAGCTCTGCCATGTTGGGCCCCCATGCACATTCCCAGCAACACAGCTAGGTCCTTGGACGGGTGACAACCCCACAACGAAGCACATGTGATACATGTGGTCTGACCTTAGGCAAGTGAGTTTGTTCAAAATTGCAGAAAAGGGGTACCTGGTGGGATGTCATACTGTGTAACCTTCTAGCGCCTAACAGGCAGCTTGGGTTAACCAACGTAATAATGTGCCATGATTTGACCGTTAGCGCTATGAGCATACCTAGTGTGGAGTTTGGCGCTATATAAAAGGATTTATCAGACCTAGTTTACTCAAATACGATATGGATGTGCTCAGCTCTGCCATGCTGGGCACCACATGCATATCCCCAGCAACACAGCTGGGTAATCAGACTCAAATATGATATGGGCTTTCCCAGCTCTGCCATGCAGGGCACTGTGGCTTCATGACCTGCTACAATTACATAACACAATGTGTTGCACTTCCTCATTCCTCAGAGCAGTAAACTGTCAACCTTATCACAGTCTGAACAGTAAATCTTGTTTGAGCTTTCTATGATACATACTTTCTAAACCTATTCCACAAAAAGATATGTCATACACAATATCATGCTATTATGTTAAACAGCCTAATTGTGGTGAGACACACCACTTCCTCATTCAACGTCATGTTCTGACATGTACATGATGTAAACATTCAAAAACAACATGTATATTTTGTGTGACACATACATTTATTCTTTGACAATTTGTAAACAAATACAATGGCTTAGTGATATTTTAACTGTCATGTACAAACAGACAAAAGAAAGACAAAAGATGAGTCTCCCCCTTCTTTCTTCTTAATGACCATACCTGAAAAACATACAACAGTAAAATTAGTTCTGAGGTGAAATGGGCTTTATCACTGCATTTAAGAATATTTCACTTAAAGTGCACAAATAACATGCATGAACATGTGATTGTGACTAGAATCTAGACTAATGCCAGAGAACCATGGAGAATTGGTCTTCAGTAACCCATACTTGTCGTAAGAGGCGACTAACGGGATCGGGTGGTCAGGCTCGCTGATTTGGACGGTACATGTCATCATATCCCAGTTAGATTGATGCTCGTGGATTGTCTGTTCCCGACTCAATTATTTACAGACCACTGCCATATAGCTGGAATAATGCTGGGTGCGGCGTTAAACAACAAACAAACAAACAAACATATGACAGATTAATTGTGCTTGCCCGCTGGTCTCAGTTTATCATGATCACCCACTTACACACAGTATACAGACTCCTAGCCAACCAGTCCTTGTTTTGTATCCTGATTAATACCGAGCATTAGGCTGAGTACAAACAAGAACTCTCAAGTCTAGCAACTTGATCCACCCAAGAATTGAACCACTGTCCTTTGCTCTTTGGCCAGGCGCTCTTTAAGTACACAATGGAGAGGTACCTTACAATTTTGTTACATTATTGAAGTTCATTCTCTTCCTGATTGTTCAAAGACAGACAAAGATTGATGAAACAATCTATGTGACACCAAACATGCTCTTTCCATGTCCGAACTCCTACCAAACCTCAAACTATTGAAATACCAGTTTATACTTTGCGATCTGCAATAAACTCCATAAAAATAACAACAATGTATTATCATAATTAACCATGGTAACAGGCCCTTATGCATGTATCATGTCTGTGAAGTGGATACCTGTATATAACACAGAAGGGAAGTGGACTTGCATCATGAGCATCAATCTACAGAAGTTAGTATAGAAAGATGGAATGCATGAACCAAGTCTGCGAGACCGACCACCCAACCCCTATGTCACCTCTTACAAGTTTGGGGATGAACACCAATTCTTACTTCATAGGTATGCCCTGATCTCGATAAGTAATATTGAGCCATATTTCACTGTAGTTACTGACTGAGTTTGGTTTTACGCGGCTTTTAGCAATATTCCAGCAACATCACGGCAGGGGGACACAAGAAATGGGCTTCACACATTTTACCCATGTGGGGATTCGAACCCGGGTCTTCAGCGTGACGAGCCAACGCTTTAACCACTAGACTACCCTACCACCCCTTCACTGTAGTGTGGCAAGGGTGTGTACTAGGTGCATTTTTGTTATGAAGCATGTCCACATGTCCATTAAACAAAACTCTAAATAACAAAACACCAAGTAAAAAACTTCATATTGCATATTCGGAAGTTTAAGTCAAACGCACAGACAAATCCATGTATTTACCTTTCGTCTTAAAATGTACTTAAATATATCCGGTTCGTGATGCACCTGAGTGATTACATATTTCAATCCATGCAGTTTGCAGATGTTAATAGAGGAATACCTCAGTCATAAGTAATTTTGTCTTTGCTGGAGGGAATGGATGGGCCCATAAACCAGATAAACAGATCAAGATTAATCTTCTGCTTGGCAATTTTGTATTATTTATGGCAGAGTTCAAGAACCTTACTTTGAAGCTTATCATGACCCTTCCTGAACAAACTTCAGTCTCATGATGTATTTGAATAGTCACAACTCACGGAATGTGTGATCATTAAAAAATCTATATCGTTGTTATATCATGTGATTGAAGTGGGTCACTTGAGTGAGTGAGTTTATATGGTTTTGACCGCTTTTAGCAGCATTCCAGCAATATCATGGCATTGATGACATGAGTTAAAATATCAGTGGTGTTGCAGATTGGAGACTATCATTCTAAAGGGATTTGAACGCCTGACATACTTTGTAATGATATGATACATGTCTCAAACGGTTACTCAATGACAAGTGACTAACTCAGTCATTGCTAAGGTTAGAGTGAGTGAGTGAGTTTAGTTTTACGCCGCACTCAGCAGTATTACAGCTATGAGGCGGCAGTCTGTAAACAATTGAGTCTAGACCAGACAATCCAGTGATCAACAGCATGAGCATCGATCTACACAATCGGGACACGATGACATGTGTCAACCAAGTCAGCGAGTCTGACCACCCAATCCCTGTTAGTCGCCTCTTACGACAAGCATGGGTTACTGGAGATCAATTCTAACCCAGATAATCACGGGTCACTTAGATTAGAAGTCCAAGCAAATGATTTACCATATACCATTGAAATGTTACCAAAGGACCCAATGCATATTCTGGCAGAAAATTACAAAATCAAATTTCTCTATTTCATAAACTTATCTTGCACTGTGTATTACACATTGTACATTGCTCTTCATAACAGTCCAAACTTGCAACGAGGATCTAACAGCATCTCCAGTAACTCAGTCCAAAACAACCTCCATGACATCTGTTGACAGGTGACACTCACCCTAAATGTGCCATTATTGTGTTCAAATGTTTCCCTCACACCTGACTATATGTATATCTATATACAAGACACCTGTATATGTACTTGGATTGTACTCACAATCATAGGTTTCTGGCATACACAAGAGTCACAACTCTGCACAATCAGTTGAGTTAAGTTTTACGCCAATTTTAGCAATATTCCAGGAATATCATGGCGGGGGACACCAGAAATGAGCTTCACATATTGTACCCATGTGGGGAATTGAACCCAGGTCTTTGGCGTGACTAGTGAACGCTTTAACCACTAGGCTACCCCTCCACCCTTACTCTCTGCACAGTAAACTGCTGAGATGTAAGAGCCACCTAGAACCCTTCAAGTCACAAGCCATAAGTCTTGATCATCATTCCTGAAGCTAAGAAAACACCTTTTTAACTGTCCAAATATGATAGCACTCAACTTCTGACTAAAACAACTTTAATGATCCTTTTACAAATTCTGGTAAGAGTTGGCAAACAATCAAAATGTTTGATCACTAGTATTTGGATAAAAGGAAAGGTAAGGTAAGCACACAAAGTATAACACAGATATCCTGTCAATTAGGAAGGTATAGCATGGAAACATGTTTGTCAAACACAAACACCATATCTTAGGAGTAATCGGACCCCTAACAAGTTCAAACAATCAGCCTAGGCATCAGATTATTGTACAGTTTGAACAAGGCAGCATTAGCACCAACCAGCCCTGCCTAATTCAGGTCAGATGTCTTTGAGTAGGGTGGCAGGTTGCCCTTTCCAGCAGACTAGCAGTTCACAAAGGTAACTATTACCCAATCTGCCACTTGTCGGTCCCATGCACATTTCTTCCTGGTTCATAAAGTTTAAGTAAATAAACAGTTTACTTCTTGGCAACAAATGAGCAATGCATGCTATGGTGAACCAAGTGGATATTAGCCTTCCACTAAGAGTGAGTGTGTTTGAGTTTTACGCTGCACTCAGCAATATTCCAGCTATATGGCGGCGGTGTGTAATACTCGAGTCTGAACCAGACAATCCAGTGATCAACAGCTTGAGCATCGATCTGCGCAATTTTCGAACCGATGACATGTATCAACCAAGTCAGCTAGCCTGACCACCCGATCCTGTTAGTCGCCTCTTATGACAAGCAGGGGTTACTGAAGATCAATATTCTAACCCGGACCTTCACGGGTACTTCCACTAAGAAAACAATACCTGAGACAGGTATGCAGGATTTGTTTTAACCTACAAAACTAGCTGCCAAGAGGACACATCCCCCACCAACCCCACCCCAAGTTACAAATTTCAAGGTTACAAAAAGTAAGAGTGTCCAGTGGCGTATTGTTCTGTAAGATTAAACATTTACTGTAAATGTTACAGTGTTTATTTCTTTCAAGAAATTGGACATTTTTGTTGTTTTTGCGAATCCCTCAGGACGCAACATGTCTTTTTTTCTGAGTCCACATTTGCACATACAGGACAAACATTTCTGCAACTTATAACACCCTGGGTATGTAGTGAGTTAGTGAGTGAGTTTAGTTTTATGCCGCTGTTAGCAATATTCCAGCAATATGACTACGGGGGACACCAGAAATGGGATTCACACATTGTACCAATGTGGGGAATCGAACCCAGGTCTTCAGCGTGATGAGCAAATGCTTTAACCACTAGGCTAAACCCCCCTACCCCACCCCCGGGTATGTACGCTGGCCTGCTAGACAAATACTAGTGAAACATGATCCAGACCAGTGATGCATTATGAAATAAATTCATAAAACACTCAAAACACTGAAGATGCATTTGTAGTGTAATATTTTGGTAAACCCTGGATCCCAACCCCTGGATCCTAACCCCTGGATCCATTCTCTTGGTACTTACGATCACAAATTTCCCAATCTTCACTTTCAATATAATGACTGCAAACACTATGCGTATCAAATAATGATATGATGGGATGTATTCAAATACTTATAGGAATTACCCATTACTTTTAATTCTTTCAATTTAATTCATGTCCATTAATGCCACTAATTAGCAAAATCCATGGACTTATCATCAGTCATGTCTGAGTCAAATTTTCCTACTTTGACAATGATTATTAAGAACTACATTTGCAATCATGACTAAGCCAGGAATGTTTGCAGTCAATCTGAATCTAATTTAGACACTCAGACAACAAATTACACTTTTCCCAAAATATTTCGAACAATTGAGACATTTTTGGAATTATTTCTGGGTAGAAAAACATCTGCATGATAGGTGCTATATATTACAACACACACTCATAAGTTCCTGGTGTCCCTATGGGATAAAACACTGCACAGCAAATTGTAGCACCTGAGATGGCTGGGAGACCCGTGCCTCCCAGGACTAATGACTGACTGACTGAGTTTGCTTTTACGCCGCTTTTAGCAATATTCCAGCAACATCATGGCGGGGGACACCAGAAATGGGCTTCACACATTGTACCCATGTGGGGATTTGAACCCGGGTCTTCGGCGTGACGAGCGAACACTTTAAACCATTAGGCTACCCCACCGCCCCCCAGGACTAATGAGAGGTGGAATGTAAACAATGAACACAATAAATACCTTTTCAAAAGATTACTGACGTATAAATCTCAGGATTATTGCTGACACTGAATGAGGCTTTTGAACTTTACATATGTGTGGTAAATACTAGACCCCTTATCACACTGTGACATGTTTTCAAGCATATTAAGCTATTGTTACGTATATTAAAACTGATTCCATTATCTTCCTGGTTGTGTAAGAAAGAAGTTTTCATTGGCTGGATGAAATGATCTCACTTCCTCGTCAAATCTCTCCATCTCAATCATATTAATGAATTGGAACAGTGTAGTCATTATGGGCTGCAAAAAGCAACTCCCAGTTATCAGCACTGCTGACTTCCTTGTGCACATGCATGAAATTAGTCATTCCTCTCTTGGCTAGAGAGATTATATAACTTATTATAAATTCTGCTTTGTTTTTTAAAGCCGAACTTAGCAATATAAAATATGGCAGTAGTCTGTAAATAATCGAGTCTGGACCAGACAATTCAGTGATCAACATCATGAGCACTGATCTACGCAATTGGAAGATTACATAAGATACACATTTTAACAGTTTCTGGGCTTATGAGTAACACAGGTGCAAAACATCATCTGTTGTTTCTCAGTTAAGTCAAATAAAAACAAGCTGACAATGAATGAAAGAGATTGAATTGATGAACTTCAATATTTTATCTTAGAATCTAAACATAAGCTATTTATTTGATTATAAATACAACTTGGCACTTCAACTTTTACTAATTTCAAAATTAGCAAGTTCAGATTAACACTCGTTAAAACTGTACCCGTGAAGGTCTGGGTTAGAATATTGATCTTCAGTAACCCACGCTTGTCGTAAGAGGCGACTAACAGGATCGGTGATCAGGCTCGCTGACTTGGTTGACACATGTCATTGGTTCCCAATTGCACAGATCGATGCTCATGCTGTTGATCACTGGATTGTCTGGTCCAGACTCGATTACTTACAGACTGCCGCCATATAGCTGGAATATTTCTGAGTACGGCGTAAAACTAAACTCACTCCTTAAAACTGTGTTTAAGTCATGTGTCAGCAGGTCAAGACGACAAGAATGCTCAAAGTGATGCAGGCCTTTCATGTTTAAAACTACAAGGAAAACCACAGGTATGGTCCTGACAAACCAAGAACATCATCTTGGCAAAACTTCCAGATATATTATGAGAGCTTCAGTCAATACAGAGCTGATTTCAATTTTGCTATTTCTTTGAGCTATTGGTTTGTTGTTTGTCATATTTATTTATTCAGCTTTATGATGGCAGCCTGTAAATAATTGAGTCTGGATCAGGCAATCCAGTGACTGACATTGTAACTGTGTGGACAACAGTCCATAGCACCAGAGTACAAGGACAAGCTACACCAGGTTATAAAATATTTCACTATTGTCCACATTTCTTTGTGAACATGCATGTATTCCTGTATTCAGGCCCTTAATATAAGAACACATGCAATAACTGCTGAAACGGGATGTAAACTTTTTGTAAGTGTATACATACTTTTGAAATTCCCACTCTCTGTTGTCTAGTGGACACACCTGCCTCGTCTTCAGCCACCGTGTGATGCAGTGGAAGTGGAAAGCATGCTGGGTAACAAAACAATGACAAAATATCATGACTAGCCACAACTTTCAGTGTTATTATTATAGGATATTTATATAGCGCACATATCCAGGCAACTAGTGCATGCTCAAGGCGCTGGTATTTTTACCCTAGATCATTGGATGTCAATCTCAACGGCACATTGTATTATCAATCTCAACTCCCTAGCGAGTATACAACTCTTGTGCCACTAGGCACACCGAATTATTGTGGCGTTCTCATCCTAACAATGTCCAGCATTCACAGGCACAAAACTGAAAAACGAAGGATATGAAGAATTCTGTGATTGCCGAGATGATTTTAGAATGCCATCATGTGAAATTACAATTAATTGTGCAATAAATGCTTAGTCACATGGTTAACAGAACATATGCTACACAGGGTGATTGATACGTTCTGAGCCTCATGAGAAACACCCGACCTAAACAATGCCAAAGAAATTAAAATTATAAGTACAGGTTCCAACTTACATTACAGACTCCCCAGGCCACAGTGCACTCCTCACTGGTAGCCGAGGCCTGGTTAGCCTGGCACTCTATACCTGAAACACATAGACACACGTTGTATGGTAGACATTGCATGTATAGTCTTATAGCATGTATGTTACACAGTCTTACATCATGGATGTTACAGTCTTACATCATTGATGTTACAGTCTTACATCATGGATGTTACACAGTCTTACATCATGGATGTTACACAGTTTCTTAGCATGTATAGTCATAGTGCAGGTATAGTCTTACTGCATGTACAGTCTCATAGCATGCATAGTCTTATAGCATGCATAGTCTTATAGCATGTACATTACATAATTTTATAGCATGAATAGTCTAACTGCATGTATACCTGTGGTCTTATAGCATGTACATTACATAGTTTTATAGCATGAATAGTCTAACTGCATGTATACCTGTAGTCTTATAGCATGTACATTACATAGTTTTATAGCATGAATAGTCTAACTGCATGTATACCTGTAGTCTTATAGCATGTACATTACATAGTTTTATAGCATGAATAGTCTAACTGCATGTATACCTGTAGTCTTATAGCATGTACATTACATAGTTTTATAGCATGAATAGTCTAACTGTATACCATGTATACCTGTAGTCTTATAGCATGTACATTACATAGTTTTATAGCATGAATAGTCTAACTGCATGTATACCTGTAGTCTTATAGCATGTACATTACATAGTTTTATAGCATGAATAGTCTAACTGCATGTATACCTGTAGTCTTATAGCATGTACATTACATAGTTTTATAGCATGAATAGTCTAACTGCATGTATACCTGTAGTGCATTACCTGTAGTCATAGTACATTACATAGTTTTATAGCATGAATAGTCTAACTGCATGTATACCTGTAGTCTTATAGCATGTACATTACATAGTTTTATAGCATGAATAGTCTAACTGCATGCATGTATACCTGTAGTCTTATAGCATGTACATTACATAGTTTTATAGCATGAATAGTCTAACTGCATGTACTGCACCTGTGTCTTATAGCATGTACATTCTTATAGCATGAATAGTCTAACTGCATGTATACCTGTAGTCATAGCATGTACATTACATAGTTTTATAGCATGAATAGTCTAACTGCATGTATACCTGTAGTCTTATAGCATGTACATTACATAGTTTTATAGCATGAATAGTCTAACTGCATGTATACCTGTAGTCTTATAGCATGTACATTACATAGTTTTATAGCATGCATGAATAGTCTAACTGCATGTATACCTGTAGTCTTATAGCATGTACATTACATAGTTTTATAGCATGAATAGTCTAACTGCATGTATACCTGTAGTCTTATAGCATGTACATTACATAGTTTTATAGCATGAATAGTCTAACTGCATGTATATGTACATTACCTGTAGTCTTATAGCATGTACATTACATAGTTTTATAGCATGAATAGTCTAACTGCATGTATACCTGTAGTCTTATAGCATGTACATTACATAGTTTTATAGCATGAATAGTCTAACTGCATGTATACCTGTAGTCTTATAGCATGTACATTACATAGTTTTATAGCATGAATAGTCTAACTGCATGTATACCTGTGGTCTTATAGCATGTACATTACATAGTTTTATAGCATGAATAGTCTAACTGCATGTATACCTGTAGTCTTATAGCATGTACATTACATAGTTTTATAGCATGAATAGTCTAACTGCATGTATACCTGTAGTCTTATAGCATGTACATTACATAGTTTTATAGCATGTATAGTAGTGGTGTTCCGATTAATTGAAATAATCGAAGATTGGTCGCAGTGATCAAACGACCAAGCGATCGATCACATTTTCACATTATCGAACATAAACGATTTTGGAACTACTGTTTTAGTCTTTGAAATACTTGACAATGGAACGTATCTTAGAAGTTGTCAGGGCCTGAAAACGTGTTTACTATAAATTTCACTTCACTATCTGAAAGGTCATGACTGAATATTTCTCTAAGACTCCAGGAAGTTTATGTTCATGATATATCAGTCATCACTTTAAAGTAGCAAGTTGCATCATGTTATACATATCTGTAATTACAACCTGGATAGGAAAATCTGAAAATGACGCTAACCAATTATTTTCGATGATTGTTCGTTGGTAATGAAGCAATCATCAATTGTGAGATTTCAACCAATTCCCAACATTAATGTATAGTCTAATTGCATGTATAGTCTCATAGCATGTTCATTACATACTTTTATAGCATGTATAGTCTTACTGCATGTATACTCTTATTGCCAGTTATATAGACAGTCTTATTGTATGTGTAGTGAACAGTCTTATAGCATGTATATAGACAGTCTTATTGTATGGTTAGTAAACAGTTGTATAGCATGTATATAGACAGTCTTATTGTATGTGTAGTGAACAGTCTTATAGCATGTATATAGACAGTCTTATTGTATGGTTAGTAAACAGTTGTATAGCATGTATATAGACAGTCTTATTGTATGTGTAGTGAACAGTCTTATAGCATGTATATAGACAGTCTTATTGTATGGTTAGTAAACAGTTGTATAGCATGTATATAGACAGTCTTATTGCATGTGTAGTGAACAGTCTTATAGCATGTATATAGACAGTCTTATTGTATGTGTAGTGAACAGTCTTATAGCATGTATATAGACAGTCTTATTGTATGTGTAGTGAACAGTCTTATAGCATGTATATAGACAGTCTTATTGTATGGTTAGTAAACAGTTGTATAGCATGTATATAGACAGTCTTATTGTATGTGTAGTGAACAGTCTTATAGCATGTATATAGACAGTCTTATTGTATGGTTAGTAAACAGTTGTATAGCATGTATATAGACAGTCTTATTGCATGTGTAGTGAACAGTCTTATAGCATGTATATAGACAGTCTTATTGTATGGTTAGTTAGTAAACAGTTGTGAACACAGCATGTATATAGACAGTCTTACTGCATGTGTAGTGAACAGTCTTATAGCATGTATATAGACAGTCTTACTGCATGTGTAGTGAACAGTCTTATAGCATGTATATAGACAGTCTTATTGTATGGTTAGTAAACAGTTGTATAGCATGTATATAGACAGTCTTATTGTATGTGTGAACAGTCTGTATATGATGTGTAGTGAACAGTCTTATAGCATGTATATAGACAGTCTTACTGCATGTGTAGTGAACAGTCTTATAGCATGTATATAGACAGTCTTATTGTATGGTTAGTAAACAGTTGTACAGCATGTATATAGACAGTCTTACTGCATGTGTAGTGAACAGTCTTATAGTATGTATATAGACAGTCTTATTGTATGTGTAGTGAACAGTCTTATAGCATGTATATAGACAGTCTTATTGTATGGTTAGTAAACAGTTGTATAGCATGTATATAGACAGTCTTATTGTATGTGTAGTGAACAGTCTTATAGCATGTATATAGACAGTCTTATTGTATGGGTAGTAAACAGTCTTATAGCATGTATATAGACAGTCTTATTGTATGTGTAGTGAACAGTCTTATAGCATGTATATAGACAGTCTTATTGTATGTGTAGTGAACAGTCTTATAGCATGTATATAGACAGTCTTATTGTATGTGTAGTGAACAGTCTTATAGCATGTATATAGACAGTCTTACTGCATGTGTAGTGAACAGTCTTATAGCATGTATATAGACAGTCTTATTGTATGGTTAGTAAACAGTTGTACAGCATGTATATAGACAGTCTTATTGTATGGTTAGTAAACAGTTGTACAGCATGTATATAGACAGTCTTATTGTATGGTTAGTAAACAGTTGTATAGCATGTATATAGACAGTCTTATTGTATGTGTAGTGAACAGTCTTATAGCATGTATATAGACAGTCTTATTGTATGTGTAGTGAACAGTCTTATAGCATGTATATAGACAGTCTTATTGTATGTGTAGTGAACAGTCTTATAGCATGTATATAGACAGTCTTACTGCATGTGTAGTGAACAGTCTTATAGCATGTATATAGACAGTCTTATTGTATGGTTAGTAAACAGTTGTACAGCATGTATATAGACAGTCTTATTGTATGGTTAGTAAACAGTTGTATAGCATGTATATAGACAGTCTTATTGTATGGTTAGTAAACAGTTGTACAGCATGTATATAGACAGTCTTACTGCATGTGTAGTGAACAGTCTTATAGTATGTATATAGACAGTCTTATTGTATGTGTAGTGAACAGTCTTATAGCATGTATATAGACAGTCTTATTGTATGGTTAGTAAACAGTTGTATAGCATGTATATAGACAGTCTTACTGCATGTGTAGTGAACAGTCTTATAGCATGTATATAGACAGTCTTATTGTATGGGTAGTAAACAGTTGTATAGCATGTAATAGACAGTCTTAGCACAGTCTTACTGCATGTGTAGTGAACAGTCTTATAGCATGTATATAGACAGTTTTACTGCATGTGTAGTACACAGTCTTATAGCATGTATATAGACAGTCTTACTGCATGTGTAGTGAACAGTCTTATAGCATGTATATAGACAGTCTTATTGTATGTGTAGTGAACAGTCTTATAGCATGTATATAGACAGTCTTACTGCATGTGTAGTGAACAGTCTTATAGCATGTATATAGACAGTCTTATTGTATGTGTAGTAAACAGTCTTATAGCATGTATATAGACAGTCTTATTGTATGTGTAGTGAACAGTCTTATAGCATGTATATAGACAGTCTTATTGTATGTGTAGTGAACAGTCTTATAGCATGTATATAGACAGTCTTATTGTATGGTTAGTAAACAGTTGTATAGCATGTATATAGACAGTCTTATTGTATGTGTAGTGAACAGTCTTATAGCATGTATATAGACAGTCTTATTGTATGTGTAGTGAACAGTCTTATAGCATGTATATAGACAGTCTTATTGTATGTGTAGTGAACAGTCTTATAGCATGTATATAGACAGTCTTACTGCATGTGTAGTGAACAGTCTTATAGCATGTATATAGACAGTCTTATTGTATGGTTAGTAAACAGTGAACAGTGTACAGCATGTATATAGACAGTCTTATTGTATGGTTAGTAAACAGTTGTACAGCATGTATATAGACAGTCTTATTGTATGGTTAGTAAACAGTTGTATAGCATGTATATAGACAGTCTTATTGTATGTGTAGTGAACAGTCTTATAGCATGTATATAGACAGTCTTATTGTATGTGTAGTGAACAGTCTTATAGCATGTATATAGACAGTCTTATTGTATGTGTAGTGAACAGTCTTATAGCATGTATATAGACAGTCTTACTGCATGTGTAGTGAACAGTCTTATAGCATGTATATAGACAGTCTTATTGTATGGTTAGTAAACAGTTGTATAGCATGTATATAGACAGTCTTATTGTATGGTTAGTAAACAGTTGTATAGCATGTATATAGACAGTCTTATTGTATGGTTAGTAAACAGTTGTACAGCATGTATATAGACAGTCTTACTGCATGTGTAGTGAACAGTCTTATAGTATGTATATAGACAGTCTTATTGTATGTGTAGTGAACAGTCTTATAGCATGTATATAGACAGTCTTATTGTATGGTTAGTAAACAGTTGTATAGCATGTATATAGACAGTCTTACTGCATGTGTAGTGAACAGTCTTATAGCATGTATATAGACAGTCTTATTGTATGGGTAGTAAACGGTTGTATAGCATGTAATTAGACAGTCTTACTGCATGTGTAGTGAACAGTCTTATAGCATGTATATAGACAGTTTTACTGCATGTGTAGTACACAGTCTTATAGCATGTATATAGACAGTCTTATTGTATGTGTAGTGAACAGTCTTATAGCATGTATATAGACAGTCTTATTGTATGTGTAGTGAACAGTCTTATAGCATGTATATAGACAGTCTTATTGCATGTGTAGTGAACAGTCTTATAGCATGTATATAGACAGTCTTATTGTATGTGTAGTGAACAGTCTTATAGCATGTATATAGACAGTCTTATATGTGACAGTCTTTAGCATGTATATAGACAGTCTTATTGTATGTAGTGAACAGTCTTATAGCATGTATATAGACAGTCTTACTGCATGTGTAGTGAACAGTCTTATAGCATGTATATAGACAGTCTTATTGTATGTGTAGTAAACAGTCTTATAGCATGTATATAGACAGTCTTATTGTATGTGTAGTGAACAGTCTTATAGCATGTATATAGACAGTCTTATTGTATGTGTAGTAAACAGTCTTATAGCATGTATATAGACAGTCTTATTGTATGTGTAGTAAACAGTCTTATAGCATGTATATAGACAGTCTTATTGTATGTGTAGTGAACAGTCTTATAGCATGTATATAGACAGTCTTATTGTATGTGTAGTGAACAGTCTTATAGCATGTATATAGACAGTCTTATTGTATGTGTAGTGAACAGTCTTATAGCATGTATATAGACAGTCTTATTGTATATGTAGTGAACAGTCTTATAGCATGTATATAGACAGTCTTATTGTATGTGTAGTAAACAGTCTTATAGCATGTATATAGACAGTCTTACTGCATGTGTAGTGAACAGTCTTATAGCATGTATATAGACAGTCTTACTGCATGTGTAGTAAACAGTCTTATAGCATGTATATGGACAGTCTTACTGCATGTGTAGTGAACAGTCTTATAGCATTTATATAGACAGTCTTACTGCATGTGTAGTGAAGAGTCTTATAGCATGTATATAGACAGTCTTACTGCATGTGTAGTGAACAGTCTTATAGCATGTATATAGACAGTCTTATTGTATGTGTAGTGAACAGCCTTATAGCATGTATATAGACAGTCTTATTGTATGGTTAGTAAACAGTTGTATAGCATGTATATAGACAGTCTTATTGTATGTGTAGTAAACAGTCTTATAGCATGTATATAGACAGTCTTATTGTATGTGTAGTGAACAGTCTTATAGCATGTATATAGACAGTCTTATTGTATGTGTAGTGAACAGTCTTATAGCATGTATATAGACAGTCTTATTGTATGGTTAGTAAACAGTTGTATAGCATGTATATAGACAGTCTTACTGCATGTGTAGTGAACAGTCTTATAGCATGTATATAGACAGTCTTATTGTATGTGTAGTGAACAGTTGTATAGCATGTATATAGACAGTCTTATTGTATGGTTAGTAAACAGTTGTATAGCATGTATATAGACAGTCTTATTGTATGTGTAGTGAACAGTCTTATAGCATGTATATAGACAGTCTTACTGCATGTGTAGTGAACAGTCTTATAGCATGTATATAGACAGTCTTATTGTATGTGTAGTGAACAGTTGTATATCATGTATATAGACAGTCTTATTGTATATGTAGTGAACAGTCTTAGAGCATGTATATAGACAGTTTTACTGCATGTGTAGTGAACAGTCTTATAGCATGTATATAGACAGTCTTACTGCATGTGTAGTGAACAGTCTTATAGCATGTATATAGACAGCCTTATTGCATGTGTAGTGAACAGTCTTATAGCATGTATATAGACAGTCTTATTGCATGTGTAGTGAACAGTCTTATAGCATGTATATAGACAGTCTTACTGCATGTGTAGTGAACAGTCTTATAGCATGTATATAGACATTCTTAATAGTAATAAACCTTCATACATCATGCCCTCTAGCATGTATTGTGGACAGTTTTCTAGCTTGTATAGTCGACAGCATATAGCATATAATTTCTAAGTGGGTCAAAATATTGAGAAAATACATAAAAAATAGCTTCTTTGTTTATTTTATCACCTAAGCCATGTTACAAACAGTTATATGCTATGCATCACTAATAATGAGTCAATGCTGTGAAGGAATACTGTAAGGCTTGGGACTAACATCATTTATCAGATAATCAGTAAATCTTTACAGTTCCTTCGTTATTCACTAATTATTGATAATTAATTATCTGTCATGTGTGTTCCATCTAGTTAATCACAGCTTTCTTGGCTTGTTACAAATGTGAAGTATAATACAATCAGGATTCTGCACCTGAAGAAATATCATCTTCCTTATCATGCTAATCATCGCTGATAATAAACCATCAATTTCTACTTACACAGATCCATGATGTGATTTCTGCAGATAGCACAGTTGTCTACAACAATATCTGCAAGAAAACCAATATGACATGGCAGATATATGAAGATATCGTCATGATATGATGATCATAATTGTTCCTATGCAATATGTAAAATAGACATGATAGAACAATATTTTCTCTGATATCATCACTGCAAAGACGAGACACCCTTTGATCACTGATGTCAATTGTACTTTGAAAGTGTTCTGATTTTCTGAATTTGATCAGTTCATTTTAGATCAACATGATTAATCATGTTAATAGTGGTTAACTACAATAACTGTACTGTATCCCAATATAAGGCTCATGATACTATACATTGAATTACAACTATTGTATCGCAATACATAAGATTCATTCCATTTCAATTCCAATTGAATCCTCATTTTCAGAGGGGCGCTGGGGTAGCCTAGTGGTTAAGGCGTTCGCTCGTCACGGCGAAGACCCTGGTTCGATTCCCCACATGGGTACAATGTGTGAAGCCCATTTCTGGTGTCCCATCCGTGATGTTGCTGGAATATTGCTAAATGCGGCATAAAACTAAACTCACTCACTCATTTTCAGTCAAACCAACTGGCCCACACAGCAACTCCAAAGATTGTACAGACATGATTAAAATCCAATTTAAACATGTATACATTAATAAACTGATAGCTAGTTTAAAATGTTCTATACTAAAGATACAGTCAGACCTCGTATATCCGAACTTCAGATATCCGAATACCTCAGTTTCCGAACATTCTTCACAAAAAACAAAATTTTCTAGTTACAATTTACCTTGTATATCCGAATGTTCGGTTTCCATATCCGAACTGTGAATTCTGGTAACGAAACAACAAAATATGTACAAATTTGCCTCGTATATTCGAACACCAAGGCTGTCGTCGACAAGATGTCTGATGTTTACCGCTACTCAACAGTGCTCACTGCTTTGACCTTTGATCAATCCTATATCAAAACCCAAGGTCTGTTGTCGGCGAGGTATCAAAACACAAAGTCTATCATGTCTACCGCTTGTCAAAACATTGTGCTGACTGCTAGTTAATGAATTGTTTATTGAATATTTATCACAGGGCATGTAGGTTAATAAGAGAAGAAACAATTAAAGTTTGACATTGAGTTGACACTGATTCGAATCGTTGATTGAGTAAGCATAAATAAAGACAGAGGTGTATGCTAGATATAGAAACAACACAAAGGCGTGGGTGACAGCAGATGTGTTTCGTGATTGGCTGCTGTCTTTTGATCGACAGATGAGGTCATGTGGAAGACAGGTCATTTTGCTTGTTGACAATGCGGCTAGTCACATCTGTAAAAATCTGAAACTGACCAGCGTGACTGTCCATTTCCTGCCACACAACACAACCGCACACATTCAGCTAAAGGATGCAATGGATTTGAAAATGTCAGCGACCTCACAAACCTGGAGTTATGTTATGTTATGCAAGATGTTATGTTAAATAAAGATGTAGTTATGTTTCAATGTTATTTTTAGTTGTTTTGTTTTCACGTTTAGCCGACCGCCTAGGCCCTGATTCAGATATCCGAATGATTCATTTGTCCGAACAATTCAATAAAAAACCAAAGTGTTCGGATAAACAAGGTCTGACTGTATACCATATACACATTTGCTATCAATATTCATTCACAAACTTACCCCATGCCCACAATGCCACAGCATTCCACTGAAATGGAAAAAATAAGATTGCCACAACAACTGAGAATTTTGTTTTGTTTTCATTTAGTAAAAACATTTGGCTAGATAAATGCGTTATCACATCGTGTCTCGGAAAATACGGGGTTTTATCAGTCCCTCGTAAGGTTGTATTCCCCGAGCTTGGAGAATACAACCTTACGAGGGACTGATAAAACCCTGTATTTCCCAAGACACGATGTGATAACTTATAATGTGACTACCCATGCTAGATATGGATTTAATGCCACTTTAAACAGCATTCTAGTTACATCAGTGAATGCTGGTTTAATGTTGGAGGACATCATTAAGGTGCACTGGGATTTGAACCCATGATCACAGGTTTCTGACAATAATGTCATGTTGGCACACAGTTATGCATAGTGAATTGTGGTGCCTTTGATCACTCGAACTGGGCATGCTAACAGAGTAGTACACATGTATACATCAAACATTTGCTATTGTTGTTTTTTTCCGAAATTATCTGGTAGTCATTGGGCCGCAGTCTGGACCAAACATTCCAGTGATTGACCTTCAGATATGGTGATAAGAATAAACTGTAAGCAGCCATGGCCATCCAATTGGTCGCAACCATTCTCTTTAAATTTTACTGAAATGGTAGCATTTTTGTACATGTTAAATTGACAAATCCATAACAAATTCTGATAAAATGAACAGGTTGAACACGATTTAGAGAATTAAAGTTATCTGTTCCCTATTTTAACTGAAATCCCCAAGATTACACCCAAATATCTTTATAAACTTGACTCAAGAATTCAACTGACGTGAAATCCTGCAACCTATACATATAAAAAGTTAAACGGATGTAAAAAGAAAGAGCCGAGGGGTACACAAAAGAACAATACAAACTGCATTGATTCACAACAGACCCAAAGGAGGGGGGAAATATGCTTAACCCGAAAGATCCTGTGAATACACTTATCAGAGGGGTACACAAAGTCTGTGGTCCAGACTACCAATTGTCCAACTTCCATTCTTGTGGAAACAGCATTGGCCGAGCAGGTTTGGGTCTGACTTTGTGAGTGTGGGTTCAAATCCCTGATGGCACTCAACTCAACAAAAGTACTAGAATCTGAACTTAAAAAAGAAAGTGTAATCGCAATTATAACATATGTTAAACCGAAGGATCCTGACTATTCAGGGGTGGTTTGATGGGAAATGGGTACTTGATCGGAAAGGGAAATAGAGGACTAGGATAGAGCTGTAACCTACCACAGCCGAAAGACAACTAAAGCTTAGGATCGATGATGCCCTCGCGATCTGTGATTTAAGCAAAAGTCCCGTTTCTAGTATACTTATCTATGGTGATTTGCTTTAACAGCTAAAATAATTTTGATGAACAAGATCTAATTTTAGATGTGCTTCTGTGTTTCATATCCGTTTCTGTGTATTTCATCTAAGGTTACACGTGTGCTTGAATATCACAGAAATAGGGATCGATTCTTGTTATTATACCTTCTTCACTTCAAATCTCTTTTTACTTCCTTTATCCCCTGGAGCTGCGGGTGCTCCGTTGTCCATATCTTCTTCTATATCCATTGCTGCTGCCATAATTTTCCGAAACCTCACAGCGCCCTCTATTCAACTTCCGCTTTGGGTGGATATAAAACAGAGACTACTGGGCGAGACGAAGAACTGTATAGTACTGTTTTTGTTAACTATATAAAATTAAATATTCCAATAAAATTAGATGTGAGTCTAAATGTGGGATCTTAGGGACATAAAAACTACCCCAAGGCATTTTTTACCACTGAAATGTATGTATTTCTACATTAACATGTTTATTCGAACAACACTTTTATAAAGGAGAGCACATGAATTAAGGAATGATTTGTAACTTTCTTGCCAAGCACTGCCCCTGCCAAATGCGAGTATTGGACTATTGGACTGCTGACAACTGACTACGTGCAGTGCGCATAGTAAAAAATATATAAGATAATGAAAGGAGCCCTGAGAAATAGCCACATTTTCTAGACACTATTTGCTTCAGGGTCCACAGACTAGCCCGTGACGTACTACTAAAAATCCAGACGGGCCAGTAAATCTCCACAGTCCCTGGCCCGACTGGCTAGTAAATTTTCATGGGGTCATTTTGTCTGCAGGACTCTATTACGATTCCCGTATGACTTATCTAAGTTATGAACAAAATATTTAAGAAATTCAGACGTGTTTTCATGTTTGTTTTTTTGATAGAATTTTACCTTTCACTAATCTTGCGCTTAGTTTCTACATTCAAATTTCGGGCTAGTGAATTATTTTGTGGGCTAGTAACTTTCAGACATATCTAGCAACACTGGCTAGCAAAATTTGGAAACTATACTGAACAACATTAGAAACGCACCACACTAAAATGCACCGACGATGCTCAGATATCATGGGTACATTTTAGTCTGACGGGGATATTTCGTATTATCTGGGTGGTGCGTTTCTAACGTTGTTCAGTATATTTCGCACACTGACTACGTGAATTCAGTATCTACTAGAATCCATCAGTGATCTTCAACTCAGTGGATAGACAGATACCATTCACAGGGTTTTACCTTGACCTTTGAATAGTACTTTCAAGGTCCTTTCAAGAACTTGAAATTGTGTAGTGTATTGATCCGTAAGATTTGGTAATTATTTTAATACAAGGACTTTTTATTTCTTGTCAAGAATATGGTATTATTATATGGTATTTATATAGCGCACATATCCAGGCAACTAGTGCTTGCTCAAGGCGCTGGTATTTTTTCCCCTCGATCATTGGATGTCAGTCTCAACGGCACATCGTGTTATCAATCTCAACTCCCTGGGGAGTATACAACTCTTGCAGCCACTAGGCGCACCGAATTATTGTGGCATTCTCATCCTAACAGTGTCCAGCATTCACAGGCACAAAACTGAAAAACTTAAGGATATGAAAAATTCTGTGATTGTCGAGATGATTTTAAAATGCCATCATGTGAAATTACATTGCAGCCACTAGGCGCACCAAATTATTGTGGCATTCTCATCCTAACGAGGTACCCATTCACAGCTGGGTGGACTGGGACACATAGTCACAGTACTTTGTCCAAGTTCACTGCACGTTGCTGTACCCGCAACTTGGTGTTTGCACGTATTCATGTGGCCACTATCTGGTCATATACCAACGGATTCGTGGGTTCTTTTAAGTGCACAGGGATGTGTACTGTACACTAGGGGTTGTGACAACACTGAAAGAGTCTGCACACAAAGTTGACTCCGAGGTTTTTTACACCCGGTCACAGGTGGGCTCGATCCCGACACCTCAAGCTCGCTGGATCACTAGCCTGGCACCTTAGCCAGCTCGCCCACCGCGAGGAATGTTAAAGCTCAACCATCTGAACACAATACATGTATATATTTCTTCTGCTTAAATTCTGTTCGGGGGCGATGAGGTAGCCTAGTGGTTAAAGCCTTCACTCGTCACGTCGAAAACCCGGGTTCGATTCCCCACATGGGTACAATGTATGAAGCCCATTTCTGGTGTCCCCCCGCCGTGATATTGCTGGAATATTGCTAAAAGCAGCGTAAAACCAAACTCACTCACCCATTCTGTAGGCCTGTGCATCAAGGGCTGACGAACACATCTGCGTTAAACCCGGTATTCATCAGTGTTCTAGGATTTCTTCGCAAAACTACTGCATAAATCGACAACTGCCTCCTTTCACATGTAAATGTCCACCATGATGTGAACGCTGCTGAAGGGGTCGTTGTAGGCACGAGTACCACAGATATGTACCCTTTCTGTATACAGAAACGTAGTCCAGCCAAAATCTGAATACAGAAACGTACCCTAAGACGGGTACATATTGTATTGTGTCGTTTTCTGGTAGGAACGGCCATACTGTTGTGTTAGATACATTTGATTGCGTTATAAGAGACGACCATCCACAGTAAGGGATATTTCACGATGCCCACTCGCAATCAGTTGCACCAGTGGTGTAGTGGTTAGCATGCTGACCTCTCATGCCAAAGGACCGGGTTCGAATCCCGGTGGAGACACCAAAATTTGTTACCTGGGTCTCATACTGTGTTGTGTCCCTGGGCAAGGCACTTCGTCCACATTGCACTTAGTCCACCCAGCTGTTCAAATGGGTACCTGCGAAGCGGATGTACGGACCTATACGGTCGCGCGAAGAGCTTAGTAGCAGCTTTGAAAGTACAATTCCGTCAGGGTAATGATGTAAAGCCAGAGAGCAGCATCGTGCTGGATTCTAGGCGCAAAAATTAGCATTTTTAGTATTATTATTATTTAATCTACAGCATTCTCCCTGGTTGAACTATACTATACTCACACTTTGATAAGGATCACAAAAGATCACAACTTTACTTAAACGTAGATATGAAATTGTATCCATTTAAAACTATCCATATAAATAATAATATGGTAACCCCTCTTTAGGCAGACAGCCACTTTATTCTAACCTTATGCACTTGATACACGAGTAACCATAAAATGGTTTTCATGGCACCAATCAACCATTTTGCAAATCATGGAACGAGTCATTGACTAATAAACAACACCTGTCAATAGCAGTGATCCACAAGAAGCAATGACATACTGAAACCTTGGAACCATGCTTATAATAAGCTTAGATATTTAAACCAAATTTAACCTCACATCATAGTTTTCTATTGAATCCATGATTTGATCCTTAGCAAAGTGTGAATAGTATACATACGGTTTCGTTTAAAATTGGTCTGTGGGATATGGAGTCGTCCGCCGTTTAGGGTACTGGGTACGTTTCTGTATTATGATTTTGTTTAGGGTACGTTTCTGTATTGTACCTGTGCCGACAACGACCACTTCAGCGTGATTGCTTAGTTGAGTTGATTGTGAATCTATATACATGAAAATGTTGTTTACCATCGTACAGAGGATAAAGAAATGTATGACGTGAAACTTTTAATCAGCCCCTTCAAACAACACTTATTCAAACCCGAAAACTTCTTTTCGATCATAACCAGTTACATTGTGTAGGAAATAGAGATCGCTAATTACATACGGCGTCTTAAGATTACGCTGAACACTAATTACGACACCATTCGACTTAACTGTTGCTGTGCATCGGACCGTGGAGGAACAATTCACTCCCATTGAAGTCACCACGGTAACGCGAAAGAGAATTTCGTTTCGCGTTCTACTTCTAGTTTTGTATTCAACTAAGGGAAGGACTCGGCCAAAATGTCGTCGTCGGGAGGCAAGCACCCTCAAGGAAATAATTCCGAGATGAAAGAGCCAGAGGATATGCATTCACATTCTAACGGTGCTTGTGCAGATGAAAAGTGCAATGGACACAAAAATCCCCCCATATTTGAAGCAATCAAAGCTGGGTATGTTTATATATTGTTGATAAACCGTTGTTTGTCGTACCGGGCGTACGATCACTCGACCATGACTATAATATTGCATGCGATACACACGCCTTGTGGTGATAACTAACGCTGTTTTTGTTTCGTGTTTCAGTTACCATAGACACGTTTGAATGATTGTTTTTGTTTTTCTAATTTAGGGGATTTTGTCAATCGTATAATTGAAGAAGATTTTCGAGGAGCAACAATTGTTTGTTTACATGGTTACCAGTCATGCGTTTGAACAACTTGAACAGTCATGTCTCCTCGTCCGAGTCAATATACACATGGTACAATAAAACGCAGGATATATGGCCATCTGATTGTTTGTCAGATATTCAAGAGACCTTTTAGACGATAACCATTTGTTTAGAAGACTGATCAAACATTAAATTAGAATAAGAGCCACTAGTCTAAAAATCGTATTTGGATTTGCTAACCGGTTGCAAAATTGATGGAGAAATTTTGCGCCATTGGTGCATTTAGTTTAACATAAACTATTTCTGTTGTTTAAAACAATATTCCTCCTTTCGCTGAAAGGGACACAGGATGCCATGTTGTCTAAGGCGTCAGTTTGTTGTGCAGAGTTGTGTCCCTTGGGCATGCAAGAAACCTGAAATCATAGGTTTGAATCCTAATTCTCATGCAACCGCTTATTAAGGGATCACAATGCCCTAGCCTCCAGGATGGACTGATTTTCTTTCTCTTTTAAATGGTGAGGCAAGCCAGAAAGTGACTTTTCTTACTGGTTTTTCATGCTGCATTGCATGTATCCAGTGTTTTAAACAAGATGCAACATGGCCACTGACAGTGTGGATTTTTATGTCATGGTGAAACAAGCAAGTAAAACTTAATTGAAAGTAATTTGGTAACATTGATCAAATGATTCTTATAATTAGGTCTTGGAATTAATGATGACATGTAGGTTGTCATGGGGCTGCTTTGGTGATGTTAACAAAGTATTATTAAGACATTTGTTTGTATTTTTGTAATTTTTGTTTAAAATATTTTATTCTGAATACAAATTAATGATTTTTTGTGAGCATTACTTCTATCATGTGTTTTCATGACTAGAAATTGACAAGAGTTGTTAAATTCTATAGCAGATGAAAAAGAACAAATTCAGATATAACATAGACAACCAATAAATGTTACACTGTTGTGTAGAATACATGTATTATGCATTTGCCATGTTTGAGGAATGTATATGTCATCATTGACATCAATGACCCATATCCCACACACCTGCAGCAATACAAGGAATCTTCTTCAGTGACTTGGTAGCATTCTAAAACTTGAATAGATATTAAGCGATACAACTCATATTCATTTCTCAACTGATCAAAGTTGTTTCAGGCATTTCACATTGTTTCAGATTGATGGACTTTTTTATGATGTCCAATGCTTGACATGTTTGTAAAATAAATCCTTTGAGTTTGTAACTAGCACATCATGTGGATAGCCATTTCATGCCAAGAGATTGATGTTTGTTGCTTTAAGCGGAAAGAGATGGGTGAGGTGAATTGGGGTTTAACATTGTACTTAAAAATATTTCGCTCATATGGCGATGTGAATGCGTATGTATGTGTGGCTGCTTGTACTAGCCCAGACTGAAGCTGGTTTTATAGTGCTAGCTAACTGAGATACCATGCCGTAGTTTAGCATGAAGACCCCACTCAGACACATTATACTGACTCCGAGCTAGTCCATGGTGTACCCATTAATGCCGAGCGCCAGGCTGGGACCAACAAGTACTATATTTTAACGTGTTTTGGCATGACGCGGACGGGGATCGAACCCGCGACCTTCCGCTCTCCAAGCAGACACTCTAACTATTACACCACAGAGGCAGTCTTAACATGCTTAAGCTGAAAGAGTTTTTTGAAACTCTCACAAACATTCAAAATGTTAATTTCTTTTCATTTTAACAAACTTTCTTTTTTCAGGATGCTCATCCCTATCCAGACATTGTTTGAACAAGGAGGTGCTGAGGTTTTCACCTCTAGAGATGATAAAGGCCACACACCAGCCCATTGGGCCTGTCTAGGAGGTCACACAACCATCTTACGTTTTATGCTGGAACACAAGGCACCTGTCAATGAACCCAGCAACAATGATTTGGGAGCCCGTCCGATCCACTGGGCCTGTGTGAATGGCCACATTGCAGTGGTGGACATACTTGTCCAGTCTGGGGTTCTCCTGGACATTGTAGACAACAAGGGCTGCACACCTCTCATTGTGGCAGCTCAGTATGGACAGACTATGCTGTCCGGCTACCTCATGGGGAAGGGAGCTCGTCTGCAGCTGGTGGATAAAGATGGAGACAGTGCTCTACATTGGGCAGCATTTAAAGGTAGAGTCATATTTGGGTTCAGGGCTTGAAATGTCTTGTATTCTAGTGCTAGTGGCATGGTTAAGATCATGGTGATGAGCGGATGCTTTAACCATTAGGCTACCCCACTGCCCCCTGTTGACAACAAATATGATTTACTGGTTATTATGCCTTGTCAGGAACAAGACAATTCAAGACAAAAGAAGATAAGTGAACTTCACCAACTATGTCGCCTCACCTAATGCAAAGGAATAGCTTCTCAATTTCAAGACCATTCTACCCCAAAATACTGGCAGTTTTTGAAATTAAGCTTGAAAAGCAATGTTCCCTGTCATAACACGAAAGGTCATCATGGTAATGAATAAACTCCCACATTAAATACTACAGATGGCCCACTTAATTTGCACTGACAAATCTCTATAATACTTATAAAAGAGGGGGCGGTGTGGTAGCTTAGTGATTTAAGTGTACGCTTGTCACGCCAAAGGCCTGGGTTCGATTCCCCACATGGGTAGAATGTGTGAAGCCCATTTCTTGTGTACCCCACCATGATATTGCTGGAATCTTGCTAAAAGCGGCGTAAAACATAACTCACTTGTAATCGAGATAGAAATATCATGGACGAAATCCTTGCTGTTATATAATCCTGATGTTAGATTATTCTCTTGACAGGTCACTCGGAGCTGATGCGACTGTTGATCTACTCTGGGTTCAACCCCCGGCAGCGGGACAACTACGGCCAGACTCCCCTCCATCTAGCATGCATCAACGGCAATCTCACCGCCGTGAAGGAGCTCTGCGAACAGGTGAAAGTCCAATTTCAGTACTTCAGGAGCATGTATACTGTGTTCTGCTGTCATTAGTGAGTCAGGGATGAAAATTAGCTAAGAATCCTAGCTAGCCCGAATAGTGACATATAGCAATATCCCACAAAATGTTTGAAATTCTACTAGCCCATAGGATACTTTTAACATTAATATGACCTGTACATGTTTGTCCTTATTTCCATTACTGACCCAAGAAGATCCAGGTTAGAATTGATCTTGAGCAACCCATGCTTGTTGTAAGTGACGACTAATGGCATCAGGTGGTCAGGCTCGCTGACTTGGTTGACACATGTCATCGTATCACAGATGTATAAACTCATTGACCCTTTCTTCCATACAGGATAGTGTTGAGATTGATCTGGCTGACAAGAACAGCAAAACACCCCTCATGCTAGCAGTTGGTCGCAAACATGAGAACATCATCAGTTATCTGAAGAAAGAGGCCAGGTTCAAGGCCAGTGTCTTCCCCCGCATCGACTGCTGGTATGTACTTGAAGACCTTGCGGGATTTTGGGTTAGAATAGCGAGGTTTCGAACCTATGCTAGTTATATGAGTGATTTGATCGTGGTCATAGCTTAAGTATCATGTCTTACTTGAATGGATGATAAAGTCCCATGTGTTCTGACTAATGGCTTGTTATTCGTAGTGGCGTGTGGCGTGTGCACAAAGCTCAGATCACAAATCAGTTGAAGTTAAGCAACGTCGAGCTCGGAGAGTCCTTGGATGGGTGTTTGGCAGCTTGACTCCTGAGAGTTTCGAGACTTTAGTCCTGCCCCACAATGTAGCACATGTGATACATGTGGTCTCACCTTAGGCAAGTGAGTTTGTTCAAAATTGCCTCTGTTCACCCAGCAGGAAAATGGGTACCGGTGGAAAAAGTCATGTGACTATAACCTTCTAGCGCCTAAGAGCCAGCATTGGTTATCCGGGGTAATAGTGCTGTGCTATTGATTGTTAGTGCTATGAGCATGCGTAGTGTGGAGTTTGGCGCTATACAAATGGACACATTATTTATTTCATTATCATTCCAGGGCTATCATGTTTGGTCCCCCTGGGAACAGTAAAGGGGCTCTGCTCTTCTTCCTCATCAGTGTGGTGTGTTGGGGATATCCCATGTATTTAATCAAGGTAAGAATGTACACCTATAGTCCTGGGATTAAATTAATAATATAATGATAGATGGACAAAGATGTGCAAGCTACCAATGTAGATTTGATATACATTTTATTACATTGATATATTTAAAACTGCAGACGGAATACTGACTGTTTTAGCTTTTGTTTGTTTAAGGCATTCATAAATATCTTTACCTCTCAGATCATTTGATCATATGATCATGCAAGGCAATGATAAGCTTGATCGCAAATTCTGAATTTAGCCACTAATCCAAGTCATGTAAGATTCTGTTTGGTCTAGAAGCTCAGGTAATCCTGTGTATAGCAATACAAAGTCTACCGAAATTTACTAATTTATTTAATTTTGCCTCGAGATTTAAGTAGTACAGCAAGTCTCAAGGACTTCAGGGATGGTGGGGTGGCCTTGTTGGTAAAGCATTCGCTTGTCACACCAAAGGCATAGGTTCGAGTCCCCATGGATACAATGTACCCTCCATAATATTGCTGGAATATTGCAGAAAGAGTCGTGAAACAGCACTCATGAACAACAAACAAATGAACGAACGAATGGCACCATTAGTTCCAAACACTGCCATGGTTTGATTGCCAGCATTGGTGAAATATAGCGTGAGTGCCTTAAGGTTTCCTTGTATTCCTTGTATCATACTGTCTATGTTAATGTTTCCATATGGGGCGGTGGGGTAGCCTAGTGGTTAAAGTATTCGCTCGTCATGCCGAAGACCTGGGTTCCATTCCCAACATGGGTACAATTGGTGAAGCCCATTTCTGGTGTCCCCCGCTGTGATATTGCTGGAATATTGCTAAAATCAGCGTAAAACCACACTCAGTCAGTCAGTAATGTTTCCATGACGACCCAGGTCGTTCATATTTGGTGTGTAGATGGAATTAAGCTTCCTTTGTATAGTCCGTTTGGCTCAAAAGCGGACCGATGAATTGCAATCTAACTCGAAAACTAATAAACATAACATACTCAATGAAAAGCTGATCATAATCAAAACATCATACCCACTCTGTGAGGTGTTTGCAGAATTTTTGTCCCTACAATAATAAAGTTGTTTAACAAACTATCATTAAAATATTGACACAGTTCACAGTTACGAGGGAGGAGTTCAGAGAAAGGGACAGCCAGGTGTTCGAGAAGCACGTTCACAGACAAAGTTATTGATTCATTAACCTGTGCTGTGCCGCTCCATCCATTCTCGCACACCTGGCTGTCCCTTTTTCTGCACTCCTCGATGTATGATGTTTTGATTATGATCAGCGTTTCATTGAGTATTTTATATTTATTAGTTTTCGAGTTAGATTGCAATTCATCGGTCCGCTTTTGAGCCAAATGGACTATAGGTAATGTTAAGAGTCATCTCATTAGCTCTGTGCCAAGTTTCACTGTCTCTGCTTCCAGTGTCTGCCACTGACGTTCTATGAACTGCAGCCTTTCCACCTGTTGTTCATCACTGTCAACATCTTCATGTGGATCTGCCTGTACCACTGCAACACTATAGACCCAGGTTTCCTGCCCAGGAACATACCAGAGTACGACCAGGCCATCAAACAGGTGAGCTGTGATTCTGGTGCCACTGTCAATAGAACACACTCTAGCCAACATGGACATGTAGTAGTTCCTAGGCTTATTGTGAACACCCATCCGTCTACCAGTACTATAGCTGTATTCCTGTGGGACTGTGGCATAAAACAACTTTTACTTACATGGCTCAGCTGTCAGGGAGTATTAGAACAAATGAATAATAATAATAATATTCAAAATTTGTATAGCGCCCTATATGATTTAGGAACTAAGATACTCAAAGGCGCTTTACAGAAAGCGTCACAAATACTACGGAGTGTAGGCTGATTTAAAGAAATGGGTTTTTACGCCCTTCTTAAAAATGTCTTCTTAAGATGTTGAGTTTCTCACGGTAGATGGTGTTGCTGCAATCTTGTTGAAGTATCTGTCACCATACATTACAGTTCATGTTTTGGGCACAGCGATCAGATATGCTGATTGTGATCGTGCTGGGTGATAAGGAATGACAAGCTCCTTGAGATATGTTGGAGCAGTGTTATGCAAGGCCTTGTACATGTACATCAAGATAAATCCCTTTTTAATCAAGTTATCTTGTATCCTTGTCTCACAGGTCGCCCATTTTGATGAATGGAAGCAGGGCCAGAACCCCTTGAGCAGGCTATGTCACACGTGTCGAACCGTGAAACCAGTCCGAGCCAAACATTGTCGCGTGTGCAACCGATGTGTAAAGGAGTTTGACCATCACTGCCCTTACATCTACAACTGTGTGGGCTACAATAATAGGTGAGATATGACGGTAACATGTAGAAAACCAGTACCACACTAAAAAGGACATTACATTACCAGTGGGAGCAAAGTCCAAGGACCACCCCTATATTTGGACCAGGAAATATCTTGGGTTTTATTCGTCTTCAACAACCCATGCTTGTTGTAAGAGGTGACAAATGGGATCACATGGTCAGTCTCCCCGAGTTGGTGGACGCATGTCATTGTATCCCAGTTGTGTTCATCGATGGTCATGATGTCAATCACAGGATTGTCTGGTCCAGACTTGATTATTTAGATTGTCATCACATACCTGGAATATTGCTGAGTGCAACAACAACCAATTTTCGAAACAAAAATATTTGTGAAAATATGCCCTTTGAAAACTGAGAAGTTGTTGTCCATAGTGGTATTGGTTTGGTACTTTTAGGCATAGTCAATATTCATACTGGATTGCTTCACATGAAATTGTGCATTTGGGAACGTATCAGGAGACTTAGTAAACAGTGGCACAGTTTACAAAAGTTCTACTATGTGATATAAATTTCTCAATGAAAACAGTATGAAGAGAAAAATTATACAGAGACAAATATTTGTCAGGTTTAGATAACTATATATTGAAAGGTCTCAACAGACTACGTTCTTGGAAATAGTTTTAAAATTGGGTTCAATAATCCAAGATTTTAAAATTACTTTTAAGTTACATGATTACATATTTTTGTTGGAACACGGTTATGAATATTGACTATGATCTTGATATTTTTGCATGTTGAATATGGAATGATACTTGACAAGAAATTTGCATGACTATGAACTTGCATATGTCAGTGTTAGATTTGTGGTGGTTTAGTTCTGTGCATGATTCTGAATTAATGTAAATAATGGTTATATCTGCATGTGATTTCATCTTGCTGGGTGGTGTTTGTTACAATGGTTACATTGTTCTGCATGAAATAATTTTCTAGTTTGACAATATTCCCATAACTATCAATTTTCCAACAACTCTTAGACATTATCATATATACTAGCACAAAATGCAAATAATAGTGTATCATTTTAACACAATGTGGCACCTAGCAAGATGAAATGTGTTAATATTTAAGGGCTGTATATATAGCATCAGGCCTTTTGCACAAGCCTATATAAGATCATCATATATTATCATGATGATTATTTCATCCCTGTTCTGCTGCCCTCCATGACTGCTACATGTACTCATCTTGTACACTGAAGTCCTGGTCCCAGCTTTGCTCGCTCAGCATATCCTGCTTCATATTCACAACACCTATTCCGTCTTGCACAGGGGTCTGGTTTGCTTAGTGGTCTGTCACTGTCACAGTGTAGAGTTATGTCCCTTATCTGCTGCAAAAAGGTTTCCTATATCTGCTGCAGAGTTATATCCCTTATCTGCTGCAGAGTTGTCTCCCTTATCTGCTGCAAGATGGCTTCCTCTATATATCTGCTGCAGCATTGTGCCCTTTAGCTGCATGGCTTGGGTTCAGATTCTAGGTTTATCCTAATTATGATCCTTGGTCAATTTTCAGTTAGCAGCATGTTATATGGGTTTCATTGAAATAGGAAACATCTACTTGGATAGCTGCTACTTTCTTCTTATGTTATACTAACTCTGTGATATAACTTTAGTACAGCTCAAGCCATATAACACAATTTCTCCACTCACAAACTCATTTTGCCGAGATTGGGACTTGGTTGTCCCTGGTTCACTTGTAGCTTCCCTATCAAGGCTTGTCACATGGATTTAAAGGACATATTGGTTTCCGAGTTTACGGATTTTTGTAAATTGTAATTCTTTGGTCGCAAGAAAGGGTTTTGTTCTTTAGACAGTATTTCAGTATATTGTATGCAGAGATGTTTTGTGAAGAAAATTTGAAAGAAAATAGGGCTTCAGTTCCTACAGTCTGCAGGTCTGTAAGCCAATTAAAACAGAAGTTGAGATAGTTTGTTTCAGTTCACCGTATATATTTGAGTAAATCATATTTCTGATTAACAGTTGCTCATGAGCTGGGCAAGAAAAAGTTTGGTTGTTATTTTGTGATTACCACTAACAGTAGCATGAGAAGCTTCCCATTGTTTTGAAAACAACAAACCATTTAATTCTTTTTCGCTATTAAAGACTATTTGACCAGAGAAAACAGGCTATAAGATTGTTCCAATGTTTGTGTTTCCTGCATGTGGTATATATCAGGAGGGTTCTGGTAGTTATCTCCCCTTTCAATGAGTAACTCCCCTTTGTACTATATCATGCATGGATGTGGTGGTGGTGTAGGCGGTGGTTGTGTTGAGACATGCACGATGTATACTCATATATAGAAGAATGGGAACAATTGTGAAGGTGTATGGTCTTGACTTGATTTTCCTTTATTCCCAGATCACCAGGAACTGTAACACAGCATGCATAATGCATATCATATATTTCACTCAGTGGCATAAAGTGCTGATGAAGCAAGTTTATTCATCTCAACAGTAAACTCTATTGGCAATATTGAGACATGTGACCATATATTGTAGTGTATATTTGTGTATTTATCCTGGTGAATTACTGGTGGATACTTATTGCTATTCATGTGTTGATATGTGTATCAAACAAGAGAACTAATTTGATGACCCATGTATATTTGTTGGGTTCTATCTCTGGATGACAAATCGATGTCAAGTTTGTAATGAAATAATCGACTATTAGCTGAGTTTCTGAGTTAGCTACATTTCCATCAGAAAGGTTCAATATGAGAGAGTATGAAAGTGATATTGGTGATTGAAACTTCTGTTTAGAACTACTGCGTGCACCTGAAAGAGACTATTATAGAATAGATCATCACAAATTTCCTTATTGCTCAATACTGACATGATCAATGGATTGTTTATTTTATGTCTTTGACTTTGAAAGTTTCGACTTCATTGAGACAAATTAGATTTGTTATTTGTGGCACATACTTGAAAAGAAGATCTAGTCAAAACCAGAAAAGGATGTCAAATGATTGTAGTCCATATCTGTCTGAACTGTACAGCAGAAATTCACAGAAATGGATAGGAGCTGAAGAAATGTATTTAAGTGTTGATCCGTTTCTCAGGATCTAAATAATAAACCCAATCTAATGGTAAGAGATCAGAAAGTCCCTCATTTTTGTATCAAAGACTGTGCCTTAACATGGTGTTTTGGAAGAAGTATTGTTTCTGCTCTTTCCCCCACTAGGGTCCAGAGCAATGAAGTTTAGTGAATTACAGCATAGATTTAGTGTGACGTGTAGAGTATGATAATGTCTGATAATGTAATTAATGGAAGTAAAAATGAACAAATCTTGTTCTAAATTCCATAATAAACTGAACAAGTCTGAAGAAAATATATATATATATATATGACTTTTCTCTCACCATCTGTTACTGACTTAAATCTCCATGAATTTTCTTGCACATACAACAAAGGTTGTATATTTTATGACCTTGACCTATCCTGGCGTTTTTGTCTGTCTGTCTGGAATCCTTATGTGTACTTCCTCCTTAACAGACCTAAAATTCAGATTGATGTTTTTGATGACATTGACCTTCTTTTCTCATATCTTCTCTGTGAGGGGCAGTGGGGTAGCCCAGTGGTTAAGGCGTTCGCTCGTTACGCCGAAGACCTGGGTTCCATTCCTCACATGGGCACACTGTGTGAAGCCCATTTTTTTCTGGTGTTGATATTGCTGGAATATTGCTAAAAGCATCGTAATACTAAACTCACACACTCTTCTCTATGAACGGGACATTTTGATTTTCTAAAAACAGCACAGGCTTGATTTGAGGCCATCTAGATGTGGAATAGAGCAGCTACAATACATTGCATATTTTGGTCTTGCCGAGCACTGCTGTTGACTGCTGGTTCATGAGATCACCTTTTTCCACACTTCTTTCTTATAGGGGCGGTGGGGTAGCCTAGTGGTTAAGGCTTTCGCTCATCATGCCGAAGACCTGGGTTCGATACCCCACATGGTCACAATGTGTGAAGCTCATTTCTGGTGTCCCCTGCCGTGATATTGCTGGGAATATTGTTAAACTTTGTATAAAACCCAACTCACTCACTCCAGCTGTACAGCTGTATCATGACTGCACTGTAGAATGATGCTCCCTTCTCCTTAGCATATATTTGACCAATATGTCTGGATCAGGCAATACTAACAGAGTCTTCTTTGTTTTTTGTAGGGTATGGTTCTTTAGTTACTTGCTGTGCCTGTTCATATTGATCCTCCTCACCGACTTCCTTGCCTTCTATATACTGTATGAGCACAGCTGGGACTGGGCCGTTTTCCTGGGGGGAGCAGAGTCAGGATTTTTCACTGTAGCCATTTTTGTCGTCTTGGGAATGACGGTAAGACTTACCCCAATTTTAAATGGGATCATCCAGGTCTTTCTCATCTTGAACTCAGAGGGATTTGGCTGTTGGAAGATATATTATTAACAAACTTATGGATAAGGATTGGATCCACAAACATATCTCAGCATTAGGACTGTTGTAATTCTGTGTCAACTTATGCAATGGTCTTATCACTAAGATAGCTTTGTGGATCTGGCCATTTTACATAGGAGCTTCAAGAGACGTACCTCCCTGATTGGTGCCACCATTGAGTAAAATAACTGAAGTCTTGATAGTCACAGACTTTGAGCATGAAGCTTAGTACTAAGTCCACAGCCAGGACCTCTTAGTACAAGAAGAAACACAAGGATCATCCCAGATGTCTATAACATCATTACCCTTAATATCTGTCTTTTGCAGAGGATCTTTTCTAGTGTTTGTGACACTGGTTGCCATATGCGGTGTGTTGTCCATGTATTTGGCATATGAGATCCTGGTGTTGGAGAACTGGGTGATGAGGAAGGATTACATCTTAGGCATTTTCCTTCTGGTGGTGTTTGAGGTGATTGCCATCAATGTGTCTGCCTTTACGGTGAGTTGTGTTCCTTGGGGCCTGCAATGGGATAGGCAGAATGGATTGGCAGGGATAGACTAGTTTGGGGGTGGGGGGTGGGGGTGGTATAGTGTGGGATCAGGGTGTATCCACCTGCCTTTACGGTGAGTTGTGTTCCTTGAGATCTGCAATAGGAGAGGCACCATGGATTGGCAGGGATAGACCAGATGGGGTTGTATTGAGGGATAAGGGTGTATCGACCTGCATTAATGGTGAGTTGTGTTCCTTGAGATCTGCAATAGGATAGGCACCATGGATTGGCAGGGTTAGACCAGTTGGGGCATATACTGAGTGATAAGGGTGTGTCCACCTGCCTTTATGGTGAGTTGTGTTCCTTGAGATCTGCAATAGGACAGGCACCATGGATTGGCAGGGAGTATGGTGTGGGATAAGGGTGTATCCAGCTGCCTTCTACTGTGTATCTGTTAGAAAGGGGTAGGTGCTCAGTGCTGATACTATTCATACGATGGTATTAAAAAGACAGCAATCAATACAAATATGTGTTGTCTTTATTTTTTTTATATTTTCAAATACCAGACTTTGTGTCCTCTGTATGCCTGAACAAAGAAGTGAACATTCTTTTGTCTACAGCTTGGAGATTCTCGATTGTTAAAATTTAATAAAACAAAAATTGGTAATATATAAGTTTGTGTTAAGTGAAATATGATGTATCTGTCATCAAGTGATGCGAATAAAGTTATTGTGACGAGCAGCGTAGCCTGTACCATGTGTTTCCACCTTTGTTTACTTGATGTAAAACAGTACATAGCACTTTGTCATAAGAGGCGACTAACCGGATTGGGTGGTCAGGCTCACTGACTTGGTTGACAAATGTCATCGTATCCCAAATGTGTAAATTGGATGCTCATGATGTTGATCATCACTTGATTGTCTGGTCCAGACTTGATTCTTTACAGACCTCCACCATATAGCTGGAATATTGCTGAGTCTGCCATTAAAATACAAACCAAGTTGATTTTAATTTATATTTCACCCTTGTATCATTTCAGTCATATTCAGTGCCATATTCGGTCATTTCAGGTCTTACATGCAGGCATGAACTTGACAACTAATGAGAGAATAAACAGAAAGAGATACGAGTATTTGAAGGATGGACGAGGCCAGTTTTACAACCCATTCAACAAGGGACCACAGCATAATTTCATGGAATATTTCCATCTTCGGAAGCCGCCATATGAGCATGAGGTGCAGTTCCTCACCCTAGACGTATGATCAGTGGACAGATGGCGCCAGTGTGTGTGTGCAGGACAAAGTCAGGAGATGCAATGCCTGTGATCTGTGTCCATTTGTAGTTTGTTCCAAATCTTATTTTGAGGCAAGCAAGAATTCTCATTTATTTTGCTATGAGAATGTGTAAAAACTAAGCTAAGTTATTGTGGTATGAATGCTTAACTATTTGTTTTCCTTGTCATGTATGATTGGATCATCATATGAGTGTAATAATTCATTGGTAAACATGACGATTCGTAACATGGTATGTACTCATCGCACACGTAAAGAAGAGTCGGAAACATATTTAACCCAGAAATCAGTCTTGTTAAAATCAGACTCCCATTAATGAGCAATCTTTTATCTCTCCTTCCCCATATCTACGGAAAGTTGCATAAGTGAATAAATTGTCAGCTTTCAAAATAAATTCAACTTATTTTGTTACCTTGTCACTTAAAAATGTTTGAGTTAGACAAAATAAGTCCCACACAGAAAACAGATATTCCATCGATGGTACAGCTGTTTGAGTATAGATGGCATGAACCTCATTCATGTTCACAGTATATTGGTGTGGCCATTATCATTTGCATTTGGAAATGACAGATGACCTTTGTTTTCAGGATATGTAAATGAGAGACGTTTGAATGTTTTGCTAATTTGTATCGATAATGTAGAAATATTTATGCAGAGCTATATCATCGAGTAAAATATCTGATCTTAATGAGATTGCCCCGGAACAAGATATGTCAATGTTAATATGACGTACTGTGAATAAATTCTTTCAGACACCATGAATTATCATTTCATCAAAGTGCTTTGTTTCTATCTTATATATTCTCTCCTGCTTTCACATTGCCAATTACAGAATGAAGCATTTTTCTTGTTAATCAGTATTCCGAGATGTTTTAAAGATAAACTGACATATTAGGTGTTAACTCTTTGCATGTGGAAAATCTTAATAGAAACTGACGTAGGTGTTAGCTCTTTGTGTATGGAAGTGTATGGTGGTGGGCATCAGGCTCACAGATGTGTGGTTTACGCCCAGGAATTGCAGGCTATCTGACATGACACACATTCAGTATTAACACTACAGTGATCATTTCTCTCCCTCAGAATGTTGATCCATGCATATTTTGTATATTATGAATGTACATGAAAATATTTAAGTAAAACACATTTCATGGTTGATGTTTAAATGAATGATAAATATCCATGTACATTCAGGCAGAAAGTGTCATATTTGTTTTTACTTTTAAGTACATGTATTATTAACAATGTGGGTTGTTTGTTGTTTTTTGTTGGGTTTTTTTTTTGGGGGGGTATATTTTCTCTGGAGATGAGATGCATAGGTCACCATGATTTTTTATTCATGACTATATTTTGCATAATGCATGGGTATGTGATGTTATGGTATATAAAACAAGTGTTTTTGTCTTTACAGAAAATTTAACAATTTGTTTCAAGGATGATATTGAATGTATGGCAAACTGTTCAAACATGCTTACCAGTATTTTATTTCCAGGAATATGGTAAATGTTGTGTAGATTTTGAAGTTGATATCTCAGAATGAATATTGTAGATATGTACATAACACACCAGCATCCTCATCTTGCTGTCAACTTAGATGAAACAAAGTCACAGCAAAAGTGGTTTTCCAAAACTTGTGATGGCCATTTCTGTCGTTCGAAATGTTGATGATGTTCGCATGGTACGCTCTAGGTATGATGTATTACTCAGTCAAGAAATTGGATTTATTCTCAGCTTCATGGGGTGTATACAGTGAAATTATGTCGTCAAGGAGACCATTCCACAAAATAATCATAGCGCAGAGTTGATTGTACTTCCATCGGCTTCAGCAGTTGAGTGATAAGACCGATTGGTTGTGTTTGTTAAAGTTTAGGAGTAAGGTCAATTTTAGAGTTAAGATAGCTTTGTGAATGGTGGGCATAGGTGGATCTCTCCCTTTTGTCCTGAAAGTTTATTAAATAATAAGCCGAACCATTTGGTCTTGGGTGAAGATGAACTCTTAAAAAGCTGTATCTGCCCCTGGTGGACCTGGATTTTGTTGTATCTAGAGTTGACCTGGGGTGTCTGTTTTATCATATTTCTTTTGCTCACTATATGGACACAATCTATTCATCTGTTAACCAGTCACTCAGCTGAAATGTACATGACCACCACACATACATGACATAGTATTGTGCCTCATTCGTTTCCTGTCACAGCTGTGTCTAGGGTCCAGTTCCACCAAGCTTTCCTAGTGCTAACTAACATGCTTTCATTTAGAATTACGATAGTCTTAGTACTAATAGTTATGACTGTTTGTGGAGCACAGCCAATGGCCTCGTCCCAGATGTGACATTGCTGTTAAGCTAAGCCAACTCCCATGCTTTACCATAGAGTTGTGATAGCTGAGCTCTGATGTCGTGGTAGTTCTGAGATTGTTTTGTGGAGCAGCCAAAGACCTCATCCTGGATGTTATCTTAGCGCTTTAGCTAATGTAAGTACCTTGCTTTAATATACTTAAGATAGTCTTAGTACTAAGATTGCTTTGTGGAACAACCTATGAATCATCATATTAATATTAAGAGCTCTATAGTGTTTAGAAATGTTAGAAGTGAAGAATGCCTATAGCCTTAATGGACTATTTCTCTGCTCTCCTTAAAAAATATATATTCACATTAAGGCCAGAATCATATTCCTGTGTATTACAATACTGAAACCTATTCTTTCTTTTCTGAAGACCATTATTCAGTGTGATTATGTTTTTGTCTTGAACTATTATTATGATTTGACCCAGGTACTGTTACATCTTTGCTATGTCTAACATTATGCAATTTTACCTGAAAAATTATCTTTGATGAACAAAGTATTGTGTTTTCATTATAATAATATCCTTAGTCTCGTGTATTGCTTCATCCCTGATAGAGAACACATCAGTCTCTACACATCATCATGGTAGCTGTTTTCACTGTCTCCACAACCTTTGTTCAAGATATGTGTTCTGAACCTTTCTGTTGCTCACAATGAGAAGGAATGTCATGAAGTAGCATTTAGAAGTTGTCGGACGGGAAAACATTGATGACACTATGCATGGTTGCAACTGGTTTTCTTTTCAGCGTTTCAGTGATTCTACATCATAGTTTAGTTTCCGGTGACTAGGATCCTGCTTGTAGGCCAAATCATCACTTTGCACTGTAAATAACATGGTTGACATAACTTAGTAGTGGTCGTTGATAAATTCATTAACAAGACTTATCTCTCTTCCTCAAGGACATATTTATCATTTTTAGGAGTCAGATACACTTTGGTGTGTAATGTTTGTGTTATTTCAGTTTTTCCACACATAAGAACAATACTTCTCAAAGATGATTGAGGGTTGGTTCGTTTCTTATTGAAATTGACCAATTATCATCCAAAATGTATTGGATACTTTTCAGTTTTCATAATGTCTTATAAACATTTGCAGAAAACAGAATAACAAAATGTCATTTGCAGTTCGCAAAATCATTGGTTATATACCATAAAACTTGTTACCTCAAAGTGAATCAGGTTGTCTCATTTTTTTATGAGGATGTTCCTTGTAGATTTTCTATCAATGATATGGTCCATGCATCAAATTAAGTTTAACTGTATGTTGAATGTTCAGAAAGGCCATACAAACTGATAACAATTTTATGTAATCCTGAAGAGTGTGTATTTTATGCAGCCTTGTGTCAAAATGTACAGTACAAAGTTTAATATTAAAACGTCTTCTTTTGTTTTGACATGAATATATTCTTTTTAATGATACTGTCATGAGTGTTTTGAATTCATATGTAGTTTTATTGACATGCTAACACGGAAAGAGCCTCCCTAGCTGTACAGTTGAAGATTGACTTGCAGTGATGTTACTATGGTTACCAGGTCTGTTACCAACTGGTAGATCTTCCTATACACCACTTGTTGTTTCTATTCAAATGATAACTATATTTGATAAGTGAAATTTGTTGACACTGTGAAGTTTATGTTTAAGACACTGTTACAGTTCAGCCCCATATTGCCTTGAATGTTGAAAATCTATCGTCTTGTGTATTCATGGCTAAGATAAGTCACTGAGTATTGCGTGGTATGGTGTCCAATTTCTGTATGCACCATATGATGACTAATTGGAGCTCTCATCTTTCTGATTTCTGTTTGAAGCTATTTTTAATGAGGACAACTTTATGGATATACAACTTAATTCTGTATAGGCGACATTTGGACATAGATTCTAATGTCGTTGTCAAGCAAGTGGTGATTGACTGCCACATCTCCATGTAGACGACGTATGACTTCTTTGATTGGCATTCTAGAAGTTGAGAAGAGGAATGAGGATAAATTCTTTGTCGCATTGTCAAGCAAGCGTCACCTATACAGAATAAGAAGTTGTATATCCATTAAAATTGTCCTCATTCTTTATCTCCTCAACTTCTAGAATGCCAATCAAAGAAGTTATTTTTACTGTCATTTACTATCACAGTGGCAGTTAAGATACTGTTTTGTCTGAATTGCAAATGCTGTATAAACTATAGCCTTTAGTGACTACTGAGGCATAATGTTTCTCGAATTGGAATCTTTTTCAGAATTTTTTTTGTTTGCTCAGGATTTTTGTCCAAGATCCTGACACAGTTCTAGGAAAGAGCTTCAAAGAATTTTGATGCAGTGAAGTTAAGTGTTTGTGGACTTGGATGTTTATTTTGTAGGCATCAAGTTTGCTATTAAAGATAAAACGTTTTCAACTCTGCTGCAAGTTATGTTTCCTGATCTGTCCTCACATGCAGCTGACTTTTTAGTTTGGTACAAGGTGTCAGTTTGAAAGAGAAGGTTTGAATCTGTGATGAATGGGGCATCTTACTGACTAGCCTGTATAGATGCATTTACAATAATTTCTCATAGCACTGAACTTTTTTGGTACTTCATTTAAACGTGGCCGAAATCACCAATGTATGTGTTGTAAACACATCTGTAAGGTAAGTAGGTGATGAGGATTTCAAAGTTTAAGCTGAACTGGCTTGACAGAGGCTCATTCTGGGTCCTTGTCCACAAATCAAACTAGAATAGGAAAAAAGTGGCATTAGTCTTGTGTCAACAACTTCTGTGTCTACCAACCAAATGTCTCCTTCAGAGTAATTTTAGTGGATTTTCAATTGCACTTTCTGGCTTTTGTTAGCTAGTCTTAATGGATCAAGATGCATCTTTCTTACTTGGCTTAGAACTAGTGTCCAGAGTCAGATATTGTCATTTAGCATGGCAACTGTTAGTGCTAAGATTCTTCATTATCCAATGTATTACAGAACAATTCCCTTATGATATGTACCTGGAACCCAATGACCATGTCTTTCTTTAGACACACAGTACTAGAATATAGACCTACAACAACATTACACTGCTGTGTTATGATTGGAAGAACTGGTGACTAAACCAGATGCCTGTTCCACAAAGCAGTGTTAGAGCTACAGGGATCTTAGGCCCATGTTTAACTGTAGGAGTATCTGCTTAGTGCTAACATTGCTTTTTGGACCATCTGTGTCATCTCAAGGTGGTATGGTCTACCAACATTTGGGTAATCTGGAAAACATGTTCAACTTTTCCAAAAGTCATTCACAACCGTCTTCTTATTTTGACAACATATATTGAAAGTTGGCTCAGAGATTTTGAAAGTTGACCAATGCCCAACTGACATTCAAAAAGAGGCATTTTGATTGGCTGTTATTCTCCAGCCCATGAGTGAAATAAATTCTGTGCTCAGTTACAGAGATGGAAGCATCAGTTCTGAACAAAGCTTTTATGGGAAATAGGTCCAGGGTATATTATAACAGAATGGATTCTGTTGTAAAGGATGATTTACTGCAGCCTGTCAATATTTGTGTCAACTTACGTTCACACATGTCAGCTGGTCTTCAGGATCAGATGTTGCTGATGGAAATGTATATACGTATACTGTTATCTATATTTCTCATCTTTTATATGAATACACTGAATATCTGTGTGATAAATGTCTCTGTGTTGTATTTGTAGACTTTGCTTGCCATATGAGTGAGTTGGTTAGAAGCTGTCCTGAAGAGTATTTTAGTCCCAGCTGTACGTGTGATAATGCAATACCTTTTCTCCATTTTGTCTGTTTAAGGTTGGCATTGTATTCTAATGGTTAAAACATTTGCTCATCATGCCAAAGACCTGGGTTCACTTCCCGACATGGGTACAATGTGTGAAGCCCATTTCTGGTATCCACTGCTATGATGTTGCTGGAATATTGCTAAAAGTAGTGTAAAACTCACTAATGATCAGTTCAGGTTTGGTCTATGTACTTGACTGCCTGGACTATATTTCCAGGTGAAATTCAAGCCTGTATGTTTGCCATTTCACACTCCAGCGATATTCCAGCTATATGATGGTGGTCAGTAAATAATGATGGCTAGACCAGACAGTCCAGTCATTCGGACTACTAGGGATGCAAGGACGTTCAAGTCTCTGAGCCTGACCACTCCATCACTTACCACAAGCACAGGTTACTATGTGAGGGAGTGAGTGAGTTTAGTTTTACGCCGCACTCAGCAATATTCCAGCTATATGGCGGCGGTCTGTAAATAATTGAGTCTGGACAAGACAATCCAGTGATCAACAGCATGAGCATCAATCTGCACAATTGGGAACCAATGACATATGTCAACCAAGTCAGCGAGGCTGACCACCCGATCCTGTTAGTTGCCTCTTACGACAAGCATGGGTTACTGAAGATCAATATTCTAACCTGGACCTTCACGGGTCAGGTTACCATGTAACTATGGTAGGTGTCTATCATCCTTTGTGAAAAGGGTTGGTGGGTTAGCCTAGTGGTTTAAGTGTTTAAACAGCCCACATGGGTACAATGTGTGAAGCCCATTTCTGATATTGCTGAAATATTGCTAAAAGTGGCATAAAATTAAACCCACTCACTAGGGGTGGGTATTGCAAAGAATTTTCATATTGCGATATATTGCGACGCGAAAGCATGTATTGCGATATGTATTGCAATATATTGCAGGACGTTAATGCTTGATTTATAAAGCAAAAACACAACAAAATCACTATGCCTGATTAAGCTTTAATATAAACTATTTTACCATTACATATTTTACATACCGCGTTACTCTTACCAATAGTTCCATCTACCGTGAACCTTTTCAACCCAAAATGCTGCCTTACCGATGCCTTTGCCCTAGTATTTGGCACCACAATAAATTGTTCGTTGTTGGAGGGCACGATTTTACAACAAACGCATGGCTTCCGGTGTAAAAAAACGGAAATATCCGAAGATTTTCGAGTGTTACCAAGTTTTCCGAATGCATGTCAAAACACCGGTTTTCGATCAACGTATCGCAATACGTATCGTTTTCATGTCTGAACCGGTATATACTGGTAAACCGGTTATATTGTGCAGCCCTACCACTCACTCACACTCCTTTTATGAAAACCTAATTCAGAAATAATATTTTTGAAATACCAGTACTTCCAAGTTTTTTTATGTAATCAGAGAAAACCACACACACTCATGTAATAAACTCTACATCAAGAAACCTTGATACATAGTTTCTTCCTATGTTCTTCCACCCCTGTACCACACACAAGGACAGACACACTGCCAGTTTGTTCAGGTTTTTATTGGATCAACACAATGATTTATCACAGCCACAAGCATAAGAAAAAAGGTGTTTTTTTACAAAATAAAAGAATAATAACATCATGGTGAAGAAGTCTGGGTCAACCTCAAATACACAGCCCCTTAAAACATAAAAGCACAAAAAATTAAGAACTCACAATTTCACACTTTGCACACAAATTGGTTACAAAGTATTTGATTCAGTGATTTGAGTTAATTATTCAACTGGTGAATATTTTTGGTTTTGTCTTGGGGTTCAATAAACCACTTCAACTTGACACCATTTCATGATAACAGTGAACATTGTGGATGAACATGGAGAGGATTTGCTGGATGAGCCTAGGAGTTTTGTGATGAGACTTTTGTTGATTGGGTCAGCTATTTGTACAAATGTGAGAACTTAAAGCAAAACAGTTTACGGTCCACTGATCAGGAAAACACTTAAAATACTGGCATTATTCAGTAATGTCTTCAGGTGCATCCTGATGTTAGATAAGATCAAATATACAAAAGAAAATTCACACTTGAGCAATCTTACCTGACACCTTGGTTTCAAATTACTCTGTGAACAATTAAATCTGTATCTATATCAATATACACAAGAATCAATATATATCTGTACCTGAGTCTGGGAAAGGATAGAACATAAGGCAAGTTTATTCAAAGAGTCCTTACAACATTCCCATACTAAAACTTTGGCATAAGCCAAACGTGCTCACCTGCTGGGACAAGCTCTTGTTTCTTGTGAAGGTACTGTGTCAATGTCAACACGACATGTTTCAAAGCAGATTACCAACATAGGTGCCTTTTGAATTTTTCACTATTGAATTCATAAACCTAAGGTGTGTACTTCTGAAATCTCTCTTTGCAAGACAGTGCGCCAGAACATGTACAGAACCTCTTACTTTTGATTTCAATCTTTGATGAAGAGCCCCAGACAAAGGGTCTCCCTGGAAACATTGTTTGGCTGTCAAACTCCAGATTTGTTGGTACAGAAATACTGAGATGTATACGTTTACGCAATGAACAGATATTTCATCATGATAATCAACATTTAATTTTCTAAACTGTCTTGAATGAAACTCCTCACATAGTAGTCTCATAATAACATGATCTTTAGAATTGCTTGACAATGCAGAAACAACAAATATCCACAGATTTTTTTAAACGATACACACTGGCAGGCAATAAAGTATACACTCATGTTTTCATTAGTTGACTTCGCAGTGCTTTGGTGACCATTTTCTGGGGAGTCACAATTCAGGGTAGTTTTGTTTAGTCTTTAACATCACTCAGAAATGATCTGGCTATATGCCAGAGGGCTGTAAATAATCAAATCTGGACCAGACAATCCAGTGATTGACATCTAAGATTCGATGAGGTCTCAGCCAAGTCCACGAACCTGATCACCTGATCTCAGTAAGCGCCTCTTATGACAAGTATAAAGCGCACAGAAACTTTTGTAATTTGAGGGGTTAAATCCATATTGAAGTTTATACATTCTTTGCCCACAAGTAAAATACTGCTATTGCTAAAACACATGCTCATATAACATATGGAATGTCAATGATCATTTAATAAACTTTCAGGTCAAAATGGGGGGTCAAAAACCACTGCACCCCCCATCTGGATCCACCTATGCATGGAGAAGTCAACTTTGGTTATAAAAACATAATTCAAGATGGCAATATTTTGGGGTGTTGCGAAATGCCTAGCTCATCCCTTGTTCTATACGGCAATACTTGAGTCAAAATACAATACATGTCATGATACATAATTTGTACTCTATTGCCTGACAAGTGGATGTTGCTATCCACTAGAGTCGTGTTCTACACAACGATCTTAGAGCTAAGGTGATTGTAACTCCCGTACTTCAACATAGACTTCTTACAGTCGTACCGCTGAGATCACTTTGAGGAAGGGGCCTGTTTTGTTTAAGCTGGATGACTGGCTAATTTAGACATGCTCTTACAGTATGATGTAAACATATTTAGCGTACTGTATCAAAATATGTTTGTTTGGTTTGTTTGATGTTTAAAGCCACACTCAGCAATATTCCAACTATATGGCAGCAGACTGTAAATAATCAAGTCTGCACCAGACAATCCAGTGATCAACAGTATGAGCATCAGTCTACATACTGGGATACGATGACATGTCAACCAAGTCAGCAAGCTAATGATGTATGCGGTAAGGCTAGCCCAAGTCTCTGAAGTACTAAACAGGCTGGGTTATTGCAGAACTTAAAACCTGTTATTTATTGAAAATTGATACTGAATTAAAATGAATCAGTACATGGGTCGTAAAGCATGTACCACTAGTTGTAAGTTCACACTGAATCAGTACATGGGTAGTAAAGCATGTACCACTAGTTGTAAGTTCACACTGAATCAGTACATGGGTCGTAAAGCATGTACCACTAGTTGTAAGTTCACACTGAATCAGTACATGGGTAGTAAAGCGTTTACCACTAGTTGTAAGTTTACACTGAATCAGTACATGGGTAGTAAAGCGTGTACCACTAGTTGTAAGTTCACACTGAATCAGTACATGGGTAGTAAAGCATGTAACTAGTTCCAATAAGTTTACACTGAGTCAGTAAGTTCACACTGAATCAGAATACATACATGGTCGTAAAGCGTGTACCACTAGTTGTAAGTTCACACTGAATCAGTACATGGGTAGTAAAGCGTGTACCACTAGTTGTAAGTTCACACTGAATCAGTACATGGGTAGTAAAGCGTGTACCACTAGTTGTAAGTTCACACTGAATCAGTACATGGGTAGTAAAGCGTGTACCACTAGTTGTAAGTTCACACTGAATCAGTACATGGGTACATGGGTACCACTAGTTGAAAGTTCACACTGAATCAGTACATGGGTAGTAAAGCGTGTACCACTAGTTGTAAGTTCACACTGAATCAGTACATGGGTAGTAAAGCGTGTACCACTAGTTGTAAGTTCACACTGAATCAGTACATGGGTCGTAAAGCGTGTACCACTAGTTGTAAGTTCACACTGAATCAAAGACTCTACTGACCATGACTGACTGACTGAGTTTGGTTTTACGCCGCTTTTAGCAATATTCCAGCAACATGACGGCAGGGGACACCAGAAATGGGCTTCACACATTGTACCCATGTGGGGATTCGAACCGGTGATGAGCCAACGCTTTAACCACTAGACTACCCCACCTCCCTCTACTGACCACGACACTACTAGCAGTAACAGGTAGACACCATGTGAACATGTTTATCCATGACTGACCACACCTGTATCCATCAGTTGCCATGGCATTCAGTGCTGCCAAATTAATTTTTCTAAAATGATTGGTAATAATATTAATAATAGTCAATATCATGCTCAAAGTGCACTGTCTGTGCTGTGAACGCAGGAAGAGACTGATTTTGGTGGAAGCTTGAAGGTGCAAGACAATGAACCAAGGACAGGCACCTGTGAGAGTACAGGAAAACAATTTTGAACAGTCCTTAATGTACAAACTATAAACAATTCAGCACACATTTTGATAAAGACACAGACACCTCACCAGCCAATTTTCACATACCATATTTAGTCTCAACTTAACTGTAGTACATCTGTTTAGTAGTAGGCACAGAGATGACCTGGGCGCTGTTCTATAGCCACTTTAATGCTTCTAAACCCCCATAACATAGTATGATATGGGCACGAATATAACATTCTGTTTATTACCGAAGTCGTCAAATTGAGGAAAATAAACCCAAATCTACTTTCAAACACAGGCTGGCTACCCGCTGTCGCCGCATGTAGAACGCAACGTCATAGAAGAAACGTGACGTCATAGCATATTGTTCATGACGTCACGTCACCATGATTTAGTGATATTTTGCCCTAGGGCATTGTATGAAAAATATGAACCCTGATATTTTCGCCCTCGTAGGTAATAAATAGCACTATGATTGTTTCATCAAGGTCTAGTATTTCTTTATGCTTGTGTGGACCAGATGTTGGTAAAAAATTCACACAGTGGAAATATAACCTTTTCAAATCATCATTTCTATGTTAACATAGTTTTAACTCTTGTTATGACTTTGTGGAGACGGATATGATGTATTTCATGATGACCAACAAAGATGACGGTTTACCGCTTAGTTTTACATTATTGCACAGAATGCAGTGACAGCATACTATGTTAAAACACAACTTAAGTTTAAAAAGCAAACCTCATAAAACTTCACAATTTGTTGTTTTGGACAAAACAACTACTTCACCAGCCAAGGTACAAGTTTGGCATCCTGAACACTCAGTGTTGTGGAAAGAGAAAGTACAGAATTATGAATAATCAAATTGTGAAATGTTAGTCTAGCCAATAAAGTGTCACAATTCATCGATTCCTTTACCTCTGTGGGTTGTTTTGATACCAACAAATTTGTAAAACAGTTTGCACTAGAAGTCATGAGGTCATTCTCTTCCCACAGAGGTTACTTGTCATATCTTCCTACATAACCTCTGTTCTAATACGGCCATATTTCCCGGTCCTCGTAAAATCCCCTAGCGGCAAAAGATCGCAACACGAATTATCTATCTTCTTTCTATCCAATCAGAACACGTGTTACATCGACTTACATTCAATTTGACTAACACAAGCAAATGCAGGGCCACAAATATCCCCCATCTGCCGGGGAATTGTGTTGATGTTACACACAAGACGTTTAATGGCTAGCTTGTCCATTGTCAACGAGGGCGATGGAGACGCCATTGATACGCCATTACATGACTGAGTTCTGTCTAGAAGAAACGTTTGCGCATCGCGCTCGGGAAGAGGTTCTAGTTTTCCCGAAGCATACGGAAATTACCGAGGCCTTGCGAATGATCACTTTTGAAACATCGTCGCTGATTGCACAACTAAATCGGCTTGTCTCCAATCACGAGCCTTGAACGCTGACACCAAGAAAGGGTCGTAGAACAGAGGTTATGTAGGAAGATATGACAGGAGTAACCTCTGTGGGAAGAGAATGTCATGAGGTATGCCTTGACAAAGATCATGGCTTCCTCCAGTATGTTGGACACACTGAGTTCACAATTTGTCAGCCAAGGTTTGTTCTTCACAGCAGAATGGAATATTCCATCACTTTCCCTCCTGCTCTGGCTAATGGTATATTCCAGGCTTTCCTCAACATACCTCTATAAGTTCCCACAAAATGGAACACTCCATCACTGGGGTGTCAACACTTATTGCCTACTTTGTTTGACTAGTGGTATGTTGAAGGTGTTTAGATACACACCTCAAACACATTCCTACAACATGGAACATTCCACACAGGTGTGTCAACACCATCTGCCCGCCTTGTCTGAAAAATGGCATAGTCCAGGTGTTCATGTTATACCCTACAAACACACTCAAACAGAGTGGATTATTCCATCTCAGGGATGTCAAACATGCTTGTCACCCTTGTCTGACAAATGACATATTCCAGGTGTTTCCCTTGTACCCAACTGACATAGTTCCACAGAATGGATTATTCCATTTCCGGGGAGTCAACAACCCTTTCTCTTTAGCTGATTGCACATTCCAGATCTTCATTGCTTCTGACTGGCAGATTCATGGTTTTGGCGAGAGCCCGACACAAGTAGGCCATGGAACCGAGGCGGCCACTCGGGGCGCTGTCATACAGGTGCTGGCAGATGTTGGCTGCTCCCATACTGGACTGCACCATCTCAGGAGGCATTTTCTGTCAATACAACCACAACGATGAAAGGTCATCTTGTCAACGTAAACTAAACAAATGATAAAGGTGACGTGAACATTAAAATATGGAAGAATAATGTGGCAACAAAATATCATCCATATGGGCAAAAAGTCTCTTGTCTTACATGGATGACTTCCTAATGCCTAATGAAAAGTTGCATGGAAGCCTTTCATTTTCTTATCTAATGAGTAAAGTCTTATGAAATCCTCAATAAATAATGAGGAATGCATTTCTCTATAAGCTAGTTTACGTTGATGATAGACTTGCATCACTTGAGCTATCAGCAATCTAAGGAGTAGTGTAGTCTCTCCTTGATCTTGATCAAGTGAGTGAGTGAGTGAGTCTGGTTTTACACCGCTTTAAGCAATATTCCAGCAATATCACGGGGGGGGAAGACACCAGAAATGGGCTTCACACATTGTACCCAAGTGGGGATTCGAACCCAGACCTTCAGCGTGACGAGCGAACATCCTTGATTAAGAATTTGTTGGCATGCCCCATAAGCTTGTTTGCCTTGATGCTACACTTAATTCCCTAGAGCCAACACCTGATCTAACCAGGCTGGTAGTCCTACCTGATCCTTGATGAAGAGTTTGTTGGCATCGTCCACCAGCTTGTCCACCTGAATGATGTGCTTCATGTTGATGTGGTGTCCATCGTTCTCCACCAGCAGGATGAGGACCATGAGTGCCTCCACCATCAGCTGACGATACTCGGGCTGCGGGATCAGGTTCAGCACCTTCTCCACCTGCAGGGCAAACTTGAACTCCCGCGGTGTCATCTGGGGAGGAAACACTTAGTGAATGAACTGTGTTTTACCCTGCATTTACCTCTATTTCAGAAAATGTGAGTGAGTGAGTGAGTTTAGTTTTACTCTGCACTCAGCAATGTTCCAGCTATATGGCGGCAGTCTGTAAATAATCGAGTCTGGACCAGACAATCCAGTGATCAACAGCATGAGCTTCGATCTGCGCAATTGGGAACCGATGACATGTGTCAACCAAGTCAGCGAGCCTGACCACCCGATCCCGTTAGTCGCCTCTTACGACAAGCATAGTCGCCTTTTGTGGCAAGCATGGGTTGCCGAAGACCTATTCTATCCCGGACCTTCACGGTCATTTCAGAAAATGTCCTAACATAGGGTCAAGTATGGGATTCACAAGGAAGTAATGTTGGAATTGAACCTGGGTGTTCGGCATGACAAGCTGACACATAAAAAATGGACTTTCTCAATGCACATAGGGATTGTAAATTGTTTTATGCAGTAGTCATCAATATTTACAGTTATCACAATAGCCTGTATGTAATCAAGCTTACACCAGGCACACCAGTGCCAGATACCATGGCACTCATCATGTGCATATCTTCTTGGTTACCTCTTGGACATTCTCTGGACCAGGGGACTCCATCCCTGCACACACAGACACACACAGACTCTCCCTGTCTCTCCCTCCCTCCTATTCACTCACTCCAACCCACCCACCCACACTCACTCACTCACTTACAACCCCCCACTCACAGCAATAATCTTTAAGACCTTAAACCCCATTTCACCTCACCTAACCAGCACTCCATTTGCAGATACAAAACAGCCAACTCTAGAGTGAGTGAGTTTATATTGTTTTACACTGCAGTCAACAATGTTCCAATATCACAGCAGCCTGTTTTAATCAGACAACACAATCTAGTGACTGATAGCACGAGCAACCCTTTCAACACCAGCTTAACAATGTGATACACAATGAGTCAGTTCATGCATCCTCTATTCCTACTGAGGATGACTATGCATTACTGGGACTCTCCTCTTCCCTGGAATCTCCAAGAGAAATGGTGCAAGCTCACCTCTTGTGTCAAACTGCCAGGCAGCACATGTCCATTGATAGACAGTCCCTCACACTGGAAAGTACAAAACACTAACTGAACAAAAAACACATGAAAAAACAACAACTGACTTTTGTAACTCACTGACTTCAAATGGAATGAACGAAATTAGAAAGCTTCAGTGATAGGGCTTTAAGATATTTTTAGTGAAACTACAGTGCAATAGTATCATACTATAGCGCTCCTATACCTAGAAACATAAACATGCTGTCCAGGATTTGAACCTATGATTATTTTCCAGACATGCCTAACTCTGTACAGTGAATTCTGCAACAACTGGAATTCCATAACAACTGGAATTCTGCAACAACTGGAATTCTGTAACAACTGGAATTCTGTAGCAACTGGAATTTTGCAACAACTGCAATTCTGTAACAACTGGAATTCTGTAGCAGCTGGAATTCTGCCACAACTGGAATTCTGAAGCAACTGGAATTCTGTGCCCAATCATGACTGAAGAAAAGTTCCTCCAAACATGGCAGCAGCTTCTAGAAATTTTTTACTCCACTAAAATATATTTGTTTTCTGCATACTTACCCTCTCTAGCACTGTCCAGAGCCTGGGATAGAACTCTAATGGGACACGGTTAAGTGACCCATCCAGACGTCTTCGCCTGATCCACTGGCCCTGTCGGTCAGATGAACTGTCATCGTCATCAACCTCTGTTGTGGTTATCAAGGGGAGATCACTCTGGCTGACAACCTGTCATCATAAAAAGGGGTTCCAGGATGACACAAAGCAGATCAAATGACAGTCAACGACATAATTTTATTGAAACATTATTATATATATACACATACGACTTAAAAATTTAATCGTTTAACATTTACGGATAATGTTTTTTTATACTAGTATTTGGTTTCATGAAATTGGGAATGGTAAAGCCCAATCTGATTACAGCTTTAATTATTAAGGAATCAGCAATGGAATGAATGAAATATTAACTTCATAATGCTATAGAAGACATACCATTAAAATTACTAAATACATATCTAAAAATCACATTGGGAATATCAGAGAAGCACACAAATCAACTTTCCTGAGTTTCCAGAAGGAATTTCACTCTTGCAATTAACAACTGTACAGACTGATCAAACACTATTTTAGTGTATGACAATATATGCCAAAACCATATGTCAACATATCTATGTGACTGGAGAGGGGCAGGTTATGGACCATATTAGTTACCCCAAACCCATAGCATGAAGTAAAGACAACCAATTGTGCTCAAAAGGGCCCCTGGGACAGATGAGCAATAATTTCGGTAGTTTGATCTAAATATTATTCAGTTTATACCAGAATAACTGCCACTCATTCACAGCGTTTCTTGGTATGGCCAACTAACACAACTCTGCACAGCCAAAAGTGGTTCTTTAGACTGGGCCCATGTTTCCTTGTCATTGTAAAGGTTGGAAATATTTTTGAATCTGCTTTCCAAATACTTAGACATTTCAGCCAGATACCAATATCTATTAAAGAGTGCATGTTTTTCAAAATAATTAATTCTTTTTTATGTTTTGATCATATCAGAGTCTGTGCCAAAATGTTTGAGTCAAACTCTACATCATTTTCAGACGCGACAAAGAGTCATAACATATCAGCTGAGCTTTCAAGACAATATATCTTCAACAGTAAATTACAAGACTTGGGATTCTTGTTTCACACTGATAGGATATATTTGTAGTTAAATCATAATATATTCCCAAAATACAAGAAATACCTGGAGGTGAAGCAAATGAACATCATCTGTCAATTACGGAACTCACCGATGACTTTTTCCTGCTCATCTGTACAATCTGTGCCCCAACATTCCATCTAGAGCTACCTGAGTGACAACACCCTGCCGTCAGTACACATGTACCCACACACAACCTGTGTTCTACACCATGGACAGTGCAAGTATTAGTGGCATTCTGATCCCATGACTACTGGAACCATCAAGCGATACTCACGCAGCAACTGGAAACTCACATAGAACTCACATCCACCACTCTGTCATCAACTCAAGGGAGACTACTCCCAAGACAAGGCCAAGCAATTTTGATTCAAGTTGTTGCAAAATGTTATTGTTGTATTTATATTTCGATTAGTTGACAGTTATAACATGGAGATGCTGTTACACTAATTTAAGCATCTGAAACGTCACATGTGTGTATCAAGTCTGTATCTAGTTAATTAAACTAAAGACCGCCTCCAGTGGTGTAGTGGTTAGAGCGTCCGCCCAGAGAGCGGAAGGTCGTGGTTCGATCCCTGACCGAATCATACCAAAGACGTTAAAATATGATACTTGTTGGTCCCTGCCTGGCGCTCGGCATTAATGGGTACAACTTAAGGACTGGTCGGCTCAGAGTCAGTATAATGTGTCTGAGTGGGGTATTCATGCTTCAGTGCGGCATGGTATCTCAGTGGGCTAGCACTATAAAACCAGCTTAAGTCTGGGCTAGTACAAGCAGCGCACATACACATACACACGTCATCATATGAGCGAAATATTCTCAAGCACGATGTTAAACCCAATTTCACCTCACCTCACCTAAATAAACTAAATTTTAGCACAATAGTTGAAGGACCAACAAACTGACATTTCAGGTTTCATTGGAACATTTCTTTTTTTGAAATTTGCTACATTTGTTTGGTAGACATTCTGTATGTCCAAAAACAATGAAATTGGCCAAAGCCACCTGTATGTCTGGGTCAGTCTCTGAAAAATGTTATGTCTCTAACAAAATTCCAAGGATATATGTTTGTTTGTTTGTTTGACACTCTATGTGTAACAGCAGTTTTCCAGCAAACCCAACAAGGGTGAAATAAAAAATCGTGGACATCACTCTGATCGTTCAGTTATAAAACAAACTGCCAGGGCAGCCATTTGGCAATTACCTTCTCCACACTGTGTTGGTGAAACAGTCAACAGTGGTTCTTTACACAATAATTACACATGAGTGACATTTCCAGTTGCTGCAGCAAGTAAACTTTATCATTGATTCTTCATAATTTCCAAACCCCTTAGAGATTCATGACGCCAAAACTGGGATCAGAAATACCAACATACAAACACATAACACTACACTAGAACTCTGTAACAGGAAGTGTTGGTCATATGACTGCAGATGAGAGAATTATGGGATGCCACAAACACAAACATGCTGCATGCAACAAGAGTACGATGTGAAAAGGGTGCTTGGTACTGATGGAGATCAACAGTGATGATGAACACAGAGGGTGTCTAACCCCCAGTTGTAACAGCACAGCGTGGTCACAAGCAGTAAAAAGCAGGAGTAAGCAATGAAACATAGGCAGTAAAGCATAAGCAGTTGGTGCTGAAGCAAGCGGACAAGGCCTGGGAAGCATCTGTGAACAGTTTGTTATTTAAAGTTAAGAGTAATACAATATGTATTAAGATGCATCAGTGGTTAGTAGCCTGAAGGTTCAATATATTTGGCTGTAGTTCATATCATGACTGATTAGGTATATTGTGATTCAGTATATCACTAGACTGTGGTATGATTCAATATATCAGTTGACTGTAGCATTATTCAATATATCACTAGACTGTACTTTGTTGCAGGGTACAATACATCACCAGACTCTTGCTTTATTCAATATATCAGTTGACTGTAGCATTATTCAATATATCACTAGACTGTAGCTTTATTCAATATATCACTAGACTCTACTTTGTTGCAGGATACAATATATCACTAGACTAGCATTATTCAATATATCAGTTGACTGTAGCATTATTCAATATACCGGTATCACTAGACTGTACTTTGTTGCAGGGTACAATATATCACTAGACTAGCATTATTCAATATATCAGTTGACTGTAGCTTTATTCAATATATCACTAGACTGTACTTTGTTGCAGTGTACAATATATCACTAGACTAGCATTATTCAATATATCAGTTGACTGTAGCATTATTCAATATATATATAGATTGTACTTTGTTGCAGGGTACAATATATCACTAGACTTAAGCATTATTCAATATATCAGTTGAATGTAGCATTATTCAATATATCACTAGACTGTACTTTGTTGCAGGATACAATATATCACTAGACTCTAACATTATTAAATATATCAGTTGACTGTAGCATTATTCAATATATCACTAGACTGTAGCTTTATTCAATATATCACTAGACTGTACTTTGTTGCAGGATACAATATATCACTAGACTCTAGCATTATTCAATATATCAGTTGACTGTAGCATTATTCAATACATCACTAGACTGTAGCATTATTCAATATATCAGTTGACTGTAGCATTATTCAATATATATCTAGATTGTACTTTGTTGCAGTGTACAATATATCACTAGACTAGCATTATTCAATATATCAGTTGACTGTAGCATTATTCAATACATCACTAGACTGTACTTTGTTGCAGGGTACAATATATCACTAGACTAGCATTATTCAATATATCAGTTGACTGTAGCATTATTCAATATATATCTAGATTGTACTTTGTTGCAGGGTACAATATATCACTAGACTTAAACATTATTCAATATATCAGTTGAATGTAGCATTATTCAATATATCACTAGACTGTAGCTTTATTCAATATATCACTAGACTGTACTTTGTTGCAGGATACAATATAGAGGGGGTGATACAGCTGTCTTCTGCATGGGATACCAACCTGTATCCCACACCATGGTAGCAAGTGATGGGTACAAGAACAGTGAAGTATCAACCCCTATATAGATACTAATCTCGGTATCACAAATTTATATTAGCACCTTTGGTGTGCTGCTAAGTCTTACTTTGATACAACTTTCAAAATACTTAAAAACCTAAATATCTCTTAAAACAAAATGTTGCATTTCTTGGAAACAATATGATGGGTTTTTTTCAGACAGACTTTAGTACAGCACACAGGAATGTGCATATGATATACACTTGATATACAAGCTGATGATGGGATAACCTGGGACGATGATTTGGTTCAAGCTGTGAGTATATTGATACATTGCAAACTGCAACCTATATGTGATCACGCAGCACACAAATGCATGTGCATATACTTTATATACATGTTGATGATATATATGGAAAGCTGGGACATTGAATGGTTCAAACTGTGAGTATATCGATATATTGCATATCGTAACCTATATGTGAGCACACCGCATAAGTCTGTACACTTGATCTCCAAGCTGATGTTACAAGCTTAGACATGAATTTGGTTTAAACCTTCAGTATATCGATATACAGTGAAGCCTCGTTAATCCGGACGGTAGCGTTTCTCAGTAAATTCGTCCGGATTGCGAATAGTCCGGACTACTGAATCAAGACCCAAGTTGCTTCCCTAACTATTACAAAAACGACACGAATCTGGATAAAACAAATAAGCATTTAATGTAAAGCTTAATTCATCACATCAATAATTTTACCGAGTGACATCCGCATGTTGATCCGACATGTCTGATCACGTCCTTCCTCAGCACAGGTGAGATAATGTCTAACAAGCGATCTATTGTAGTATGCCTTGAATGTCCGAATTATTCTTGCATCCATCGGTTGTATATGAGACGTGGTATTTGGTCAAATTTTGCAAAGTTAGCAAAGCACACTTGTGACTTGCAGCATTGTCGTAAAGCAAAATCACTTTAAGTCCACGTGACCGCATCTGCCTGTCAAAGTACATTAACCAATAACAAAACAGCTCACTTGTCATCCACGCCTTTGTATTGTGGTGTCAATCAAAGTGTAAATGTACAGCATCTTCAGTCCGGAGCTTTTAATGTCTATTTAAAACAACAACCCAGTTGGCCAGTTAATTAAGTAAACATCGCCGGGAGGTGTTGTTACGGTTCGTGAACACGACTTACAGCGTCCGGACTGTGACGCAATTTACTGTTTATTTTACTGATTGGTGACAGCTACTTACCGTCCGGTTCCGGAAACCGAATTTCCGGATTATCGAGGCAAATTATAAAGGCATAGATTGGTAACAAGCTGAAATCGTCCGGGAGGCGAGACTTCCGGATTATCGGAGTCCGGACTAACGGGGCTTCACTGTACTTTAACCTGTGAGGATGTGGCACATGTATGTACACTTGATATACAAGCTGATGATGAAATGGGGACACTGACTTTCTTCAAGCTGTGATTATATCGATATATTGCTTACTTTACCCTAAATGTGAGAACAGCACAAGTATGTACACTTGATATACAAGCTGATGTTACAAGCTTGGACATTAATTTGGTTTAAACCCTGAGTATATATCGATATACTTTACCCTGTGAGGATGCAGCACACATATATGTACACTTGATATACAAGCTGATGATGTGAAAAGCTAGGACATTGACTTTGTTCAAGCTGTGAGTATATCGATATATTGCTTACTTTACCCTAAATGTGAGAACAGCACACGTATGTACACTTGATATACAAGCTGATGATGAGGAGGGGAAAGAGAGTGGGTTTTAAGATGCATACTGTAACCTTTTTTTGACTGAGACGAGCAAATGACTTTGTTTCCTCTCGTGTTTGTTTAGATTTGACGGTGAGTCGTTTCTCATCTTCAAGGTCGTGGTGGACTGAGAGAAAATACAATCACAGTGCACAACACCAGGTTAGACAATGGAAGTTAGACAATGGAAGTTAGACGCCAGGTAGCACAACAATGCTCATTCCATCCACTGACAGGCAAACACAATATTTGTGAATCAATGGATGATTATGTGTAAAGATGAAGAAAAAATGGTTTTGGAACATTTTTTAAAAGAAAATTTAATGAAAAGATTAGTGCGATGATACTATACATGTATCTATTTTCTGTAAGAAAAAAAATGAAAATATTTGTGATAGTGTCAACATACAAGTGAAACAGGGATGTGGAAGTCGACGAGTGATTTAAATCAGAGGGCATTACGCACACAACACAAATACAACAGAAATGGTGAATCTATATTCAAAGTTAACTGAGGCCAAGAAATGGTAAATGGACTTAAAAATACACAACATTCTCATTTCATTTTTAGGACAACTTGACATTAGTCTTTCAGCTTTAGTTATAAATAAGACCTTCCTTAACTGAAAGTCTGGTAGTACTTTGATTTCAAAATTAGAAAACGAAGCCTCTCGTGTTTCAAACATCGCACTAACATCCCAAATCATCTAAGCAATTTTGTTGAAATCAGTGTTCATGCCGTCAAAAGGTTAATCTGAATATGAAAATGGAAGTCAATCAGATTTTCCATTTACATTTTACATTTACTGACAAAAATAGTAAATCAAGTAACACCTCTCCCACTCCCACCTACATTTGTGAGAAGAGTTAATGTAGCGGAAATATTTTTGTGCGATTCCCACAGCAGCAGCCACAGCCAGTCCACAGCCATAGTTAGCCAGCACTGTCATCACAATCTTGCCAACTTCCAGAGTAACATATGTTATATTTGGGATTACACTTTCTTAGTAAAGTACAAATTCTAGTACTTTTTTTAGTTGAGCCACATCCGGGATTCGAACTCACACTTCAAAGTCAGGCACCTAATCACCCACACACAAAGTCAGCCACCTAACCCGCTCAGCTACCGCGACCTCCACAAAAAATGGAAGTCGGAACCCTCTGAGGGTGTGAGTTCGAATCCCGGATGGGGCTCAACTCAAAAAAGTACTAGACTTTGTACTTTACTAAGAAAGTGTCATCCCAAATATAACATATGTTACATTTGACCACTTTCTAAATGGCATTGTGTAATCGTAACTTTCAGAGTGTTTCATATTTTGAAATACAATATTCACAACAGTTCTCATGTCCACAGAACTAGGTTACTAGGTGATGTTTTGAAACTGATTTCAGAAACCTAAATCGAGATTACACTTAAGAGCAGCTCAATACCTATAAATTTACTCTGAAATGCCGACCAAGATTGCTATGACTTCCCCTGAAGTGAACCCTGACAGCAAAGAAAAAAATGCCAAAAAACCTACGTGTTTGCTATATCTAAGTTCAAAGACAATCTTGCCAGTTGCTGAAACAAGAATTTGATGTTTTGTTTGTTGTTGAACACCACACTCAGCAATATTGCAGCTATTTGATGGCAGTGTAAATCAAATCTGGACCAGATGATCCAGTGATTGACATCAAGAGCATCGATCCACACAATAGGCATTCAATGACATTAATAAAGTCAGCAAGTCTGACAACCGACCACTTTATTCACCTCATACGACAAGATTCAGTCGGTGAACACCATTTCTAACCCAGATCTTTATAGGATGAGACAAGCATGGGTTGGTAAACACAAATTCAAAACCAATAAAAAATAAGAATTAATACTTTAAAATTATATTAATTCTTCATGCTTGGAATAAAGTCCAGTACAGGATCGAACATAAATACATTACAACACAATCAGTGAGTTAGGACAAGCTATTGATGAAGGAGACAACATTGAGATGTATGTCATCAACATGTGAGACACAATACAGACTATAATGTTGATCTGCAGAACACAATACAGACTATAATGTTGATCTGCAGAACACAATACAGACTATAATGTTGATCTGCAGAACACAATACAGACTATAATGTTGATCTGCAGAACACAATACAGACTATAATGTTGATCTGCAGAACACAATACAGACTACAATACTGCAGAACACAATACAGACTATAATGTTGATCTGCAGAACACAATACAGACTATAACACAGAACACAATAGACTATAATGTTGATCTGCAGAACACAATACAGACTATAATGTTGATCTGCAGAACACAGACTATAATACAGACTATAATGTTGATCTGCAGAACACAATACAGACTATAATGTTGATCTGCAGAACACAATACAGACTATAATGTTGATCTGCAGAACACAATACAGACTATAATGTTGATCTGCAGAACACAATACAGACTATAATGTTGATCTGCAGAACACAATACAGACTATAATGTTGATCTGCAGAACACAATACAATACAGACTATAATGTTGATCTGCAGAACACAATACAGACTATAATGTTGATCTGCAGAACACAATACAGACTATAATGTTGATCTGCAGAACACAATACAGATTATAATGTTGATCTGCAGAACACACAGACTATAATGTTGATCTGCAGACAATAATGTTGATCTGCAGAACACAATACAGACTATAATGTTGATCTGCAGAACACAATACAGACTATAATGTTGATCTGCAGAACACAATACAGACTATAATGTTGATCTGCAGAACACAATACAGACTATAATGTTGATCTGCAGAACACAATACAGATTATAATGTTGATCTGCAGAACACAATTCAGATATTATAATGTTGATCTGCAGAACACAATACAGACTATAATGTTGATCTGCAGAACACAATACAGACTAATGTTGATCTGCAGAACACAATTCAGATTATAATGTTGATCTGCAGAACACAATACAGACTATAATGTTGATCTGCAGAACACAATACAGATGATCTGCAGAACACAATACAGATTATATATGTTGATCTGCAGAACACAATACAGATTATAACACACAATTCAGTAATTCACATTTATTCAGACAAGGTATGGATGAGTCTTTCTTGGCCTACAGGATACCAAAAATTCAACAAATGAGACAAGAGTCATCAGAAGATGACATATCCCCCGGCCCCCAACATCTTTGAAAGAACAAATCATCTGAGAGTTACTTAAAGTCCAGCTTGATTTTAGACTAAGTGCAAATCGTTTCCATGGAAATCATGAAAAACAGAAATGACAAAAATCTGCAAATAGCAAAAGGCACCACTTCAAGATCTGCCTCACATATCTGCCAAGTTTTACTGAAAGATATTAAGAAGTTTTTGAGTTGTGCTCCGGAAACGAAACCTACCCCTCCCTTTTGATACTAAGTCTGAATCGTTTCCATGGAAACCGAGAGAAAAAAAATGACAAAAATCTGCAATTAGCAAAAGGCACCACTTCAAGATCTGCCTCACATATCTGCCAAGTTTTGCTGAAAGATATTAAGAAGTTTTCGAGTTGTGCTCCGGAAACAAAACCTACCCCTCCCTTTTGAGACTAAGTCTGAATCGTTTCCATGGAAACCAAGAAAAATACAAATGCCCAAAATCTGTAAAGAGCAAAAGGCACCACTTTGGCATCTGCCTCACATATCTGCCAAGTTTTGTTGAAAGATATTAAGAAGTTTTCGCGTTGTGCTCCGGAAACGAAACCCACCCCTCCCTTTTGAGACTAAGTCCAAAACGTTTCCATGGAAACTGAGAAAAATAAAAATGACAAAAGTCTGTAAATAGCAAAAGGCACCCCCTTAGGTTCTGTTTGATATATCTACCAAGTTTTGTTGAAAAATATTGAACAGTTTTGGAGTTATGCTCTGGAAACAAAATGATATACTGTTATCAAAATTTCACTGATATAAATTTTGTAAATGTAGTTTATGGAATGAAGGCAACATGTAAAGCAATTTGCACCTATACCATTTTTGTATAGAAGGATGAAGAGTTACCTACCTTTGCTGATGACAAACTCCTTGCCACTGAGAATGTGATGCAGTAGAGTTTTCATCTCAAAGGGACTGAGATTCAACAGATAGTCGGACGCTTCTTCCCCTGCAATAGCATATTACACAGCAACCATTAAATAACAGTCTCCACCTGTAACTAAACTCTATTGCAGGAACTCTGGCAGATTCGCAAGTGTTTCTTGGTTACATCTCCAGGTAAGGTGTTAATGAGGGTGAAATCTGTTTAATGCTGCTTGGAGTGAGTGAGTGAGTGAGTGAGTGAGTATGGTTTTACGCTGCTTTTAGCAATATTCCAGCAATATCACGGCGGGGGACACCAGAAATGGGCTTCACACATTGTGCCCATGTGGGGATTCGAACCCGGTCTTCGGCGTGACGAGTGGACGCTTTAACCACCAGGCTACCCCACCGCCCTAATGCTGCTTTGAGCAGTATTATATCCGGGTATGTAATTTTGATGCAGAAGGAAAGCTTGGAGTTATATTATATGGGATGTATATTATTAATGAGACCCACCTGTACACTGTAATGGGACTCACCTGTACACTGTAATGTTACCTATGTACACTGTAATGGGACCCACCTGTACACTGTAATGGGACCCACCTGTACACTGTAATGGGACCCACCTGTACACTGTAATGGGACTCACCTGTACACTGTAATGTTACCTATGTACACTGTAATGGGACTCACCTGTACACTGTAATGGGACTCACCTGTACACTGTAATGGGACTCACCTGTACACTGTAATGGGACCCACCTGTACACTGTAATGGGACTCACCTGTACACTGTAATGGGACTCACCTGTACACTGTAATGGGACCCACCTGTACACTGTAATGGGACTCACCTGTACACTGTAATGGGACTCACCTGTACACTGTAATGGGACCCACCTGTACACTGTAATGGGACCCACCTGTACACTGTAATGGGACTCACCTGTACACTGTAATGGGACCCACCTGTACACTGTAATGGGACTCACCTGTACACTGTAATGGGACTCACCTGTACACTGTAATGGGACCTCACCTGTACACCTGTAATGGGACTCACCTGTACACTGTAATGGGACCTCACCTGTACACTGTAATGGGACTCACCTGTACACTGTAATGGGACTCACCTGTACACTGTAATGGGACTCACCTGTACACTGTAATGGGACCCACCTGTACACTGTAATGGGACTCACCTGTACACTGTAATGGGACTCACCTGTACACTGTAATGGGACTCACCTGTACACTGAAGTGTCCGAGATAGCTCCATGGCCATCACCTGTATGATGGGACTCACCTGTACACTGACGAGATAGCTCCATGGCCATCACCTGTATGATGAGGCCGACACGAAGACGAAGCATCTCATGGAGCAGTTTTGGTTCTGTCCTGATAAACATGGCCAGATAAATTAGCAGCTCCTGAAAAACAGACATTGGGAACATGGTCATTTTCAAAACATGTTAGTTTGCTGACATTTCTCCACAAAACAAACATGGCAACACTACTCTTCGATTCCACACCTAGATAAAATGTGTGAAGCTCATTTGTGGTCAAGGTATTGCTGGAATATAGCAAAATGTGATCTAAAACCACACTCACATGCTTGTTCACTCACTCACTCATCTTGTCAATACTGTAGGTGTCTCACCTGTGTAAGAGAAGCAGTGCTGGTGTCCTCTCCACAGGCATCAAATATGATGGAGGCCAGCTCTTCTGGGGGAAGTGGACTGAAACAGACATTCAGATCAGGACTACCTCATAAAATGTTGACCTACCTGGTGATGTGACACCTGTTCAAACCTAGCTCGTTATGCAAAAGCCCATTTACAGCGAGACCTACCTGGTGATGTGACACCTGTTTCTAGTCAGACCTACCTGGTGATGTGACACCTGTTTTCAGTCAGACCTACCTGGTGACGTGACACCTGTTCAAACCTAGCTCGTTATGCAAAAGCCCATTTACAGCGAGACCTACCTGGTGATGTGACACCTGTTTCTAGTCAAACCAACTTGGTTATGCTAAACCCATTTACAGCGAGACCTACCTGGTGACGTGACACCTGTTTCTAGTCAAACCAACTTGGTTATGCTAAACCCATTTATAGCTAGACCTACCTGGTGACGTGACACCTGTTTCTAGTCAGACCTACCTGGTGATGTGACACCTGTTTCTAGTCAGACCTATCTGGTGATGTGACACCTGTTTCTAGTCAAACCAACTTGGTTATGATAAACCCATTTATAGCTAGATCTACCTGCTTCTAGTCAGATCTACCTGGTGATGTGACACCTGTTTCTAGTCAAACCAACTTGGTTATGATAAACCCATTTATAGCTAGACCTACCTGGTGATGTGACACCTGTTTCTAGTCAGACCTACCTGGTGATGTGACACCTGTTTCTAGTCAGACCTATCTGGTGATGTGACACCTGTTTCTAGTCAGACCTACCTGGTGATGTGACACCTGTTTTCAGTCAGACCTACCTGGTGATGTGACACCTGTTTTCAGTCAGACCTACCTGGTGATGTGACACCTGTTTTCAGTCAGACCTATCTGGTGATGTGACACCTGTTTTCAGTCAGACCTACCTGGTTATGCAAAACCCATTTATAGCTAGACCTACCTGGTGATGTGACACCTGTTTCTAGTCAGACCTATCTGGTGATGTGACACCTGTTTCTAGTCAGACCTACCTGTTTCTAGTGATGTGACACCTGTTGTCAGTCAGACCTATCTGGTGATGTGACACCTGTTTTCAGTCAGACCTACCTGGTTATGCAAAACCCATTTATAGCTAGACCTACCTGGTGATGTGACACCTGTTTTCAGTCAGACCTATCTGGTGATGTGACACCTGTTTCTAGTCAGACCTACCTGGTGATGTGACACCTGTTTCTAGTCAAACCTACCTGGTGATGTGACACCTGTTTCTAGTCAAACCTACCTGGTGATGTGACATGTCAAACCTACCTGGTGATGATCTAGTCTACCTGGTGATGTGACACCTGGGTCATCCCCACAGATAGCTGCTTCTGTCTCACCAGCAGGTCTTCTGTCTCACCAGCAGGTCTGTAGCGGCCTAGAGGAATGGGTAATATTTCAGAAAGTGTCAATCGAGACTTTGGGAATATCACACATACATTTGAGCAAATAGCTATTTTTCCAGCATCATCTGTACTTATTTGATTTGCTTATCGGTAAACCTACACAAAACCCTGAATCAGTTATAACTAGGCATACTTAGATCTCATCCAACACTTACATATAAAGGATTTTACTTTATTCCCCCATCAATACCACATGGTGTTTACACCCATACATAGATCTGTCAACAGTGAACTTTACTTGTGTCTTTGTCAATAGTTATATCAAATCAAATTAATACATATAAGTGCGTATTTATTTCTGAGTTGACTAAACAAGGACAACACTATGTTTAACCTTACCAGGGCCAGGTCCTCCACTCTCTTCTTCAACATCCCCGTCCTCCACTCTCTTCTTCAACATCCCCGCTGTGTGTCGTACCAGCCACCACTGCTTCCAGTGCCCTGCCTGACAACACAGACATCAAGTCAGCAGCTTCCTAACTACTCCCACCAATGTCACATCATGCAAGACATTAAAATGGACTGCCAAAGAACAGGAACATTTAGGTGAAAACTCAAGAACGAAACATACTTATTTTGAAATTACTTTGACACACACACACACACCTCACACACCCTTACTGGATAGCCACTGTTTCTTTCCACCATTGCTTACACTAACTGTACCAGACACTTGAGCATCAGCTTTTACAGGAAGCTCAGCTTACATATACACTGTTTATAAAAATGTTTTCAAGTCACATAAAATGGCAATTATTACCCATACGGGCTAGGATACACAGGTGATTAGTTTTGTGATAATTGCACATGTGCTTTTCAGTGATTCTCAAGGTTGATTGGTCAGCTAAGCAGAGAAGAAATATGATTGGTTGACGGAACTACTTTTCATGATCCAAGTTCATTGACAACTTTTAACGTTTCATTGATAATGAGAACGTGCTGTACTCACACATTCCGAGATTTAAAAAAGAAAACATAAAAGTTAAAGAATATGAATACTCATTTTATTAGACATCATTATTTTGCAATAAAATTGCATTATAAACAGTAGCCATTTTAAAATAAATAACCTTAAAAAACAACAACAATCGTTTGCTTTGTTTGTAAACAAACATGGCCGCCATTAGGCTAACCCCGATCAACGTCAATGACCTAGTTAAAGTTGACGGAGACCTAATAGGAATACTGATAAGAATATTACAGCCCTTGAACTCCTACAACCTGCTTGTTGTTAATAGTGAATTCCGGGAAATAGAATTAGCAAGATACTGACTAAAGGCGTTACCTTAAGTGTCACAAGTGAGTCGATCTGCCACGGCGTCCATGCCATGAACCCGAAAACAGCTTCTATCTTATCGGAATCAGTGCTAAATGAATTTTGATCCACGCATTCCTAATCAATCCGAGAGGTTTGTCCCAGTATCTGATGCAGAGATCTACACATTTCATTGACTCGGATTCCGACTAGAGTTATCCTTCTTGTAACTGCTGTACTGTACTGGGACCAATGACATGACTGTAACACGCCTTCCACGGAACAAAATGTTGTTTAATCTTCAAACCTGTTAGGTTTGTTGACAGAAAATCTTTTCTAGATGAATTCGTGGGATGGTTGTCTCTTAGATTTTCAAACTTTTAACCACTGACTTTCCCCAAAATTGACAGGTTTTTGCCAAAGTGTGTTTGAACACTACACCGTCACCCTGCCACTAGACACACGTCAGTCGTGAATGAACGATATTCCGGCGCACTGACTTGATCAAATAACGTTTTAGCTGTTTTTACGTTCAATGTTGCATTTAAATGATCAAATTTATCATATTAACAAATGTTAATAAATTATTCCACACAAAATGTTTTGTTGTAATTTAAAGCGATTGTACGAGGTACTATTTTCCATAGCATAGTTATGTTATTACCGCTGGAGTTTAATACTCGCAGGAATACGAATCAGCTGTTTGAGGTCACAAGTCTGTCTCCGGGTGTTCTTTTTATTTCGTGGTTCTTCTTTTTAAATTACATTATGGGTAATAAATAGAATAACCAACTCGGTATGAGTGATGACAGGAAATATGCCCTCGTTAAAATAATGGTCAGTGCCTCGCCAAGGCTCGGCACTGTGAACATTATTTCAACTCAGGCATATGTCCCGTAATAACTCGTACCTCGTTGGTTATTCTCTAATTATTACATGTACATGGATTGATGTCTTTGAACGGCACTTAGAAGAGATACACACAGAGGGAAATTTCTGGATGCTAACTCCTGGATATAAACACATTGTTTTAGAGTATATATCCCTGATAAAGGAGGAAGAATATACTCTGAAACATCACATTCCTCATCTTACAGCGGGGCGGTGGGGTAGCCTAGTGGCTAAAGTGTTGGCTCGGCATGCCGAAGACCCGGGTTCGAATCCCACATGGGTACAATGTGTGAAGCCCATTTCTGGTGTCCCCCTCCGTGATGTTGCTGGAATATTGCTTAAAGCGGCGTAAAACCAAACTCAGTCAGTCAGTCATCTTACAGCAGTTGACATCAATTTCCCCCTTCATTAACATTGAGATGAAATGTTACTGTGTTCATGAACAAATGAGAAGATATAATGGGAGAAAAATGAAACTGACCTTTGCAGAGGGTCATGAGACAAAAGGCCAGTGATCTATTTTCTTTAATTTAATTCTACACTGTAATTCATCTAGATTCTATTACAAGGGATAGTGATGGAACACAGACAAGCATTTTGGGAGCATCTAGAACTATGGACAAACCACTTTTTGATCAGTGACATACACTTCTCCCTTCCCCAACTTACAATGACATTATTAATTATGGTCCCTAATTTATTAACAGGTGACATAAGACTCTGTCTTACCTTCTCATACAACTCTGTCAGTAGCTGCTTGACGGAGCATGTGTCCACACCGATCTTGGTATCATAGTCAGCTCCTCTGTCAACACACATTAGTACATGATCACTTGATACAGTATCTAGGATATCCTGAGTTGGCAGATCATTGCCAACTAAATTCAATATGGTGCCACATTATTGGAGTGTATGGAATTATGCATACAGTATTGGCCACAGTACTAATGCACGCCACATTATTGGAGTGTATGCATACAGTATTATTGTCGCACAGTATTGGAGTTAATGCGCCACATTATTGGAGTGTATGCATACATAATATTGGAGGTAATGCATTACACAGTATTGGAGTGTATGCATACAGTATTGGAGTGTGCGCCACAGTATTGGAGAGTATTGCGAGTATTGTGCGCCACATTATTGCCACAGAGTGTATGCCACAGTATTGGAGTGTCGCCACAGTATTGGAGATTAATGCATACACAGTATTGGAGTGTATGCCACAGTATTATGTATGCCACAGAATTGGAGTGTACGCCACAGTATTGGAGTGTAATGCCACAGTATTGGAGTAATGCGCCACAGTATTGGAGTGTCATACAGTATTGGAGGTACTGCATACAGTATTGGAGTGTAACTGATTGATTGATTGTTGTTTAACGTACCTATTCGTAATATTCCAGCTATATGGCAGCAGTCTGTAAATAATTGAATCTGGACCAGACAATCCAGTGATCAACACCATGAGCATTGATCTTCGCAATTTGGATTCAATGACATGTGTCAACCAAGTCAGTGAGTCTTACCTCCCGAGTATTAAGTATTGAGTATTAAGGGAAATTTGAATGGGATGCCGAATTAAAAGGGTAAAAAAAAATATGAAATAGGTAAAGGGTATTAAAGATTTTGAATTTAATATAGATGTGGTGTAGTAAATGGTTATAAAGTTAAACTAACTGGTCAAGTTCATTTTAGCAGGGGTAGAACAGGTCAGATTGGAGTATTCCAATTAACTTCACTTTCTGATCACTGGACCCTATCATGTTGTTTTACCTGTAGGCAGTTTGGAACTGTAGGCACTCTTACGACAAGCATGGGTTGTTGAAGATCAATTCTCATAACAGAAGTGACTTCAACACCTCTAGATCTCACATCTTGGACATACCAAAACTTTGGATATTCATCATCATAGAATGGAAATATTTAAGAAATACACTTGGCTCTACCACCATGTATAGTGTAATAAAACACACTTTTGCCCTGAACTATTATAGTTAAAGCACGAGGGCGCTTTGAGTCCAAGTGCTTTAACGCTATAATAGTTCAGGCTTAAAGTGTGTTTTATTACACTATACATGGTGGTAGGGCTTAACTGTATTTCTTTTCTAAGATGCCAAATTTAATACTTTCTAAAGATAATTACGATTAATTTAAGGCAGAATACAAAGCGACAGTGTCGGTGACCTAAATTAAGAATCCTCGAGGAGGGCTAACTGGCATGCTGTTCTATTGATGTGTCTGCCCCCTACGTTAAGATGAACGTTACCAGAAAAAAACAAATGATAACAGTTTGATGACGGTTTACGTTCAGATTAAATATCTTCTCTGAATTATTTTAATTACATCTGTCATTAACGTAAACCATATGGGGCAATATGAACGTTGCATTTCTACTACCAGCGTAAGTTTAGATCAGTACATCCAGAGGAAGTTGAGTAGTCAAGCGACATTCCACAATTGCATTGTGGGAATGTAAACATTACGAACGTTACCGTGTCGCTGAAACTTGTGAGTCGAAATGACACATTTTAACTGTCGTAAAACATAAACGTAATGTTTCCACCAGTGATGTTAGCTGCAGCAAACCAAGAAACTGGATGCAACGGTGTAGTTTACTGTAGGAGGCCGTACGAGGCGATGACAACTGACATGCATCGTGACGTCCCTTACATTGTGACGTAATGTAAAATGGTTCGATCACGAGGGGGCACACTAGAATGGCGCAGTGACGGGATAACGTCATTCAATTGTTACGTCATCAAAAAACTATACATTTATTGTCTGATAATGTTTGTTTTTTTCGATTGTTCTAACTGCTAGGCATCTTAGAAAATACATTACATGATCAAGAATGAATACAACCACCGAATGTAGACCTTATCTTGTGGAAAATAGAGGTTACTGGCAACCTACTCAGCCACTGAATCTCCACTGGGTTAATGAGATATCTGTGAACCAAGGCATAGTTTCATCACATTTGTTTTGAATCTATCCCATGGACATGAAGTGGTCACATACAAAGAACCTGTGAAGATCAGGGCTAGAATTGATCTTCAGTAACCCATGCTTGTCATAAAAGGCGCATAATGGGATTAGGTGGTTGGACTCGCTGACTTGCTTGACACATGCCATCATATCCCAATTGCGTAGATCGATGTTCATGTTGTTGATCACTGGATTGCCTTGTCCAGACTTAATTTACAGACGCTGACATTGGGCTGGAATATTATTAAGTGCGACGCAAAACTAATCTCACACACTCACTTACATACAAAGACCTGCTGAGACCGTTTACTCACTTATGTATGTACAGGTAGTGTATGATATCGGCTTGCTCCTGCAGTTTCTCACTCTGGGACAGTTTACTCACTTATGTATGTACAGGTAGTGTATGATATCGGCTTGCTCCTGCAGGTTCTCACTCTGAGACAGTTTACTCACTTATGTATGTACAGGTAGTGTATGATATCGGCTTGCTCCTGCAGGTTCTCACTCTGAGACAGTTTACTCACTTCTGTATGTACAGGTAGTGTATGATATCGGCTTGCTCCTGCAGGTTCTCACTCTGAGACAGTTTACTCACTTCTGTATGTACAGGTAGTGTATGATATCGGCTTGCTCCTGCAGGTTCTCACTCTGAGACAGTTTACTCACTTATGTATGTACAGGTAGTGTATGATATCGGCTTGCTCCTGCAGGTTCTCACTCTGAGACAGTTTACTCACTTATGTATGTACAGGTAGTGTATGATATCGGCTTGCTCCTGCAGGTTCTCACTCTGAGACAGTTTACTCACTTATGTATGTACAGGTAGTGTATGATATCGGCTTGCTCCTGCAGGTTCTCACTCTGAGACAGTTTACTCACTTATGTATGTACAGGTAGTGCATGATATCGGCTTGCTCCTGCAGGTTCTCACTCTGGGACAGTTTACTCACTTATGTATGTACAGGTAGTGTATGATATCGGCTTGCTCCTGCAGGTTCTCACTCTGAGACAGTTTACTCACTTATGTATGTACAGGTAGTGTATGATATCGGCTTGCTCCTGCAGGTTCTCACTCTGAGACAGTTTACTCACTTATGTATGTACAGGTAGTGTATGATATCGGCTTGCTCCTGCAGGTTCTCACTCTGAGACAGTTTACTCACTTATGTATGTACAGGTAGTGTATGATATCGGCTTGCTCCTGCAGGTTCTCACTCTGAGACAGTTTACTCACTTATGTATGTACAGGTAGTGTATGATATCGGCTTGCTCCTGCAGGTTCTCACTCTGAGACAGTTTACTCACTTATGTATGTACAGGTAGTGTATGATATCGGCTTGCTCCTGCAGGTTCTCACTCTGGGACAGTTTACTCACTTATGTATGTACAGGTAGTGTATGATATCGGCTTGCTCCTGCAGGTTCTCACTCTGAGACAGTTTACTCACTTATGTATGTACAGGTAGTGTATGATATCGGCTTGCTCCTGCAGGTTCTCACTCTGAGACAGTTTACTCACTTCTGTATGTACAGGTAGTGTATGATATCGGCTTGCTCCTGCAGGTTCTCACTCTGGGACAGTGTCTCCACCAGCTCGTCGATGTTGATGTCCTCCTGGGTGTCTACCAGGCGTTTCCGGTGAGCTGTTGGGGAGGCCTGGGGGCTGCTATTGGGGGTCAGATTGGAGGATGCATGGAGGCTCTCTTTAGACTCCTTTAAGTGCATGTGCAGGTGCCGGAACTCTGCAGAAGAAACAATAGAGGGTGAGCTAGGGACTGTGTAGGAGAGAGAGAGATTTACATCCAATCACCAATAAGTCATCATGTATAACAAGTTAGGCAAACTGGTGCACATATTGCATAACTAATACCAAAATAAAATAAAATAAAAAGTGTAATTCCAAATATGTCAATGAGATTTCAGATTTACAAGCATAACCTAAAGCAATCGTGCTCAGCAAAGGAAAAGAAACATGGCTGTTTAAATCTATGCATTTTCTTCTACAAAATGAAAAATAAGAAGCAGAAACATTAACAAAAAGAATTTACACATTCAGCTACATTCAACACAATTACAGAAATATTAATAACTTAAATAATGAACAAAATGATTACATCAAATGTATTAACAGATCTAAATGTAAATCATTAATTAGCAAAGATTAACATTTAAAATCAAGTATATGAATACAGAGGATAAAGATTGTAACTGTTAACTTCAGATTGGAAAATCATTAGTGATATCAAAGTTAGTCTTTGTTCAGAGAAGAGACTTTTCATGTTATTGTTTTATGAACAATAATTGATAAAACTCACAAATAGGAAAACATGAAATGTAAAGAGAATGATAGCAGCCTGCTATCTGAATATTTCAATCAAAATTCAAACAACATAATTTGCGGTAACTGTCACCACATCAAGTTTGAGCCAAACAAGCAGGGGAATCTTACAGAACAGTCTCACAGAACGGTCTCACACAAGTCACACAGAATTATCACACAGAGCGGTCCCAGTGAATGGTCCTAAGAAACAGTCCTACAGAAAAATCTGAGAGAATGGGGTGTGTTATTGTGAGATTTGGAGATAATATATTATGACTGACTGACTGAGTTTGGTTTTATGCCGCTTTTAGCAATATTCCAGCTACATCATGGCAGGGGAACACCAGAAATGGGCTTCACACATTGTACCCATGTGGGGATTGGAACCCAGGTCTTCGGCGTGACGAGCCAATGCTTTAACCACTAGGCTACCCCACCGCCCCTGATATATTATGTGTCTGGAAACTGGGGATTCATGTTATTGTTTCAAATTAATCATGAAAGACAACGGTTCATTCCGATGCATGTTAAAATTGACTGTAGCAACAATTCCCTTGATTTAAACATCATAGCTACAAATGTCCAGAATGGCACTACCCACTTACTTCCAACAAAATATGCATTCCTGTTACCGTGGTAACAACGTAATGAAATTGGTGTGGGATGTTCTGAACACATGGAGTGAGTGAGTGAATTTAGTTTTACGTCACACTCAGCAATATGCCAGCTATATGGCAGCGGTCTGTAAATAATCGTGTCAGGACCAGACAATCCAGTCATCAACAGCATGAGCATCAATGTACGGGAACTGGGATACAATGACATGACCACCCGATCCCGTTAGTCGCCGCTTACGACAAGCATGGGTTAATGAAGATCAATTCTAACCCGGATCTTCACAGGCCCGTTACCATGGTAAATGGGCAGGTGGAAGGATCTTGTAGCAGACAATGATGATGAGTGTGGGGAAGGGATGTCTCACTCCGGTGGACAAGATGGGAGCATGTGCGAGATAAACAGCATGTGAGTAACTGGGTTGGGTTGGGGCGGTGTCAGGGGTGAAAGGGAAGGGTTGGGGCTGATTTGGGAGGATGTAGCTGAGTGTAGTGATTAGCGTGCTGTAAACATAAGTAACACCCAAGCAACACCCTAACACCCAAGCAACAATTAGACAGACCCCTTGGTAGTGAGAATATGTAGACTTGAGTAGACTGAGTATATCTGTGTAAGAACACCTTACATGAGTGTATTCAAGGGCAGTTACAGAAGCACATACACCCAAGCAACAATTAGACAGACCCCTTGGTAGTGTGTGTGTGTGTGTGTGTGTGTGTGTGTGTGTTTTGTTTTACACTGCTTTTAGCAATATTCCAGCAATATCACGGCGGGGGACACCAGAAATGGGCTTCAAACATTGTACCCATGTGGAGAATCAAACCCAGGTCTTCAGTGTGACGAGCGAACGCTTTAACCACTAGGCTACCCCACCGCCCCCCTTGGTAGTGAGAATGAGTAGACTTGATCTGTGTATCTGTGTAAACACAACTTACATGAGTGTATCCAAGAACAGTTACAGAATCACATATTACCAAGTGAATCATTGTACCGTACTGTGAAGATGATTTTTCATTTCATTACCTGCATCAAGATTAGACCAATTCTAGAGCAACTGTTGAAGATTATATGATCCCAAGGTAAACAAGTGAAGTTTTTTGTAAATTCCCTTCAGTGAAATATATATATTCCCTCAATTAAACATGTCTGATGTCGCAACATGATCATGAAGAGAAATGTGGCTAAATTGACTGAAAAGATGAATCTATTCTACACATTCGGACCCAGGTCATTACAAGATTACTCGTGAAAACACTTCAGCAACTTTCATAATCATGATAAAACCATGAGATAAATTTTAAAATATGTTTGATGTTTAAAAAAATACACATGAAAAAATCTGAAATGAGTAAAATGAATAAAACCTAATGTTAGAAGGAAACAACACAACAATAAAAATAATAGACATTCTTTGTATAAAACAAATTCAGAATTAATTTCCTCTACCAATCTAAAAACATGTAAGAACTTAATGCCTCCCATCCCCCATCCCCCAAATAATTACTGAGCTTAATTTTAATTTTTGGTTCAATTAATACCTAAGCTAAAGTGTTTGCAAAAACTTGTAAACAATAAAACAAAAGAGTGTAGCCCATCAAACTGATGTGCTGTGTGTTGGTGATGGGAGACAGTAATGGTGTTGAAGGAAGTGTACTGTACCCATATCTTCACTGAAGGAGGAGGTTGGACTTGTCGACACGCTACTATTGACACTACGACTGCTCGCTTCGTTGTTAGCGGAAACAGACAGGTGAAGGTCAGTCACATGCAAAGAATACACACACTGTAACCATTTAAGGTAGTCTTCAGAAGATCTTCGGGGACTTAAACAGAACAGAAACTCAAATCTGCAGTCACATGGGAAAATTATTGCAGTGTTCGAAATGAATAACAGAAGTCATGGCTTCGTTGTCATAGCCCTATTTTAAAAGTTTAAGTCTGCAGTTCCTTAGACTGAAATACTAGAGGAGAAAGCCCCATGAATCAGAGACCAACTTCATTTTGAGCCCAGATCTGTGACAAAGGTAGAATAAAGCCAGAATCATGCCAGATGAGGTCCAAATCATTGTATCTTCTTTCAACTCAGTTTTACTTGAATTTGAATTTGTGAACTGTATGTAACCAAAGACTACCTCTGAATTGTTAAAGGTCAAAAAGCAAAGTTAATGCAAATAAGTCAACAGACAATATAAACAAATTTAAAGATTTCCTCACTATTTATGATGAATAAAATCACACAAAACAATTCTCATAAAAAAATGTTTTTGGTAGTAAAGTCTTTTCTAATGAATGTCTTCGGTTTGAGTTTGACAAATTCTCTAAACTTGCAGCAATTTGATTACTACAAAAGATCAATTTTGTTACGAGGAATCCTTTAAACTTTTTTGTTACATGGACATGGAAGGTATTAATTACATATAAACATACAAATTACATACAAACAGAGATCACTTGAAAGAGATCAGCAGTGAGGACTTGAACTAAATGTCCTGCACAACCAGTTTTGTTTACACAGTGTGAGATTCAGGGAAACACCACAATCAACAATAAATATTGAAAAATAATAAACTATATGCGCTTAAAGTGACAGGTGAGTAGTTGTTTTAAGATGTTTGAACAATATTCCAGTTATATAGTGACATGTCATTTCAATGTGGGAGAATCCCAGATAATCCCATGATCATAGGGTTGTCATCTCCAAGGGACACAACTCTGCATGGCAAACTGCAGCTCCTCAGACAACCAGGCCATTCATGACATGTACTCAATGGCTGAAGGATTAGTTACATTAACCCATTAGGAAACACTCACACGTGGCATGAATTCAACACTGCACTGGTGGGGTTAACTGATGTTTGATAAATGTGTAAATGCTAATATGAATTGCTGTTGATATTAGTTATCATAATTACAGTCGAACCCTGTTTATCCAGACATTTTGGTTACACTCGGAAATCGTCTGGATAGCGAGGCGTCCGGTTAACTGGATCAAACAAGCAAAACTTATTGATGATGTATATTGAAAATATATTCATGTAGAGTACAATTCCAATGTAGTTAATCCTAATCCTAATTACCATGTGTTTTCGTTACTGATGAGATGTTCTCACACTTGCCAAATCCTAATTAACAACTGAAGAGACACACGTCCCTAGTGTTTTGATGGGTAACTAATCAATTCACATCAAATGCCTGCCGAGAGATTAACAATGAATACACTTTTGTTCAATGGAAATCTATGGGAAAGGTTTGAAAATTCTCCATCCAGGTCCGGAAGCGCGGGGTCCGGCTAAGCGAGTACAATTACTGAAGGTAAGTGTCGTTTCACCTAAAAATCGTCCGAGGTGTTTTTTACGGATATACAGGGTCCGAGTAAACGGGGTTCGACTGTATATACTACTCTAGAAAGTAAAGGACCTACTGATTCTTTGATATTACTGTAGTTAATTTGCCATAACTATAGTAATATGACTGAATAATGTGGTTCATCTCTTTTTAGCAGCATATCTTTCACCAACATATTAAATAAAATGTTTTCTTAACTTGCAAAGAAGTACAGCAAGGTAAATATATTTTATGAAATTGTTAATATATTATTTTCTGTGTGGATAGTGTGTTCGTTTTAGTTAAATAGGTAGACAGTTAAAAGGGCTTTCAGTAAATATATTATTGTGAAGGATCAAAATTCTGTACCCTATTTTACAAAACGATGAACTGTCTATTGTGAATTGTAATGTCTTGGAACATCTGACTATACTGATGAGCTGAGGAAAACGTGGACGATCCCTGCACTACAAAACCAAAACAATAGCAAGTGCTTGTGTTTCCAGTAAGTGATCTGTGTTTCTTACAACACTACCAAACACTCTCAAATACTTTGTGAAATATTCTTGATAATTCTCTGGCGTTCCATCTTGAAAACATTTTAAATACAGATTCCAATGATATTTTGGACACCGGAAAAATATTTTTATAAAATCATATAAAATTTGAAGATTTGGAATGAAAACAATATATTTACAGAATATTTTGAAAGGTAATCTGTACATATCGTCAAAAGCAATCTAATGATGTGTATCATGATTATCACTGATGTACAAGTTCCCTGTATTGAGAGTGTTTTCCATCACACAAGTGCTACTACAGACAACAGGTACTCTACACCAGACAGCAACTACGGTGACATATATACCTTCATCCTCTACTGGACTCACTGTACAACCAGAGAAAACATCAAAATTGAAACTTTAAAAATGAATCAGCAATAAAGTTTTTACAATACAACATTTGAAAACAAAGCATTTTCAGCCCGGTCAAATCTTCATCATCATCATGACATCAGAATGTTTCGAAATCGACTTCTTACTGTTTCAAACTTGATCTCAGTTTGTTTATGTTAGACATGTTTATGATGTCCAAGTATGTGCCCTATAGGGCCTGTAAGTCTCCTCATCAGGTGCTACTTCCTGTACTGTTTATGTTAGACATGTTTATGATGTCCAAGTATGTGCCCTATGGGGCCTGTAAGTCTCCTCATCAGGTGCTACTTCCTGTACTGTTTATGTTAGACATGTTTATGATGTCCAAGTATGTGCCCTATAGGTGGGGCCTGTAAGTCTCCTCATCAGGTGCTACTTCAGGTGCCTGGTACTGTTTATGTTAGACATGTTTATGATGTCCAAGTATGTGCCCTATAGGGCCTGTAAGTCTCCTCATCAGGTGCTACTTCTGGTACTGTTTATGTTAGACATGTTTATGATGTCCAAGTATGTGCCCTATAGGGCCTGTAAGTCTCCTCATCAGGTGCTACTTCCTGTACTGTTTATGTTAGACATGTTTATGATGTCCAAGTATGTGCCCTATAGGGCCTGTAAGTCTCCTCATCAGGTGCTACTTCCGGTACTGAGCTGGTTCCCGGCTCCCTTTGTGTGTGCCAACTTGCGGTATGCGAAATGGAAGCGTACTTCCGGTACCAGATTTCCGGTGACAAGGTTCTATTCATGAACCAGTTCTGGTTCCGAACTGCGCAACCGCCAAATATGACTTTACTATACCGGACAAAGTGTGCAACCATGCTTGGCTTTCACAGATTTCCGGTGGCAAGGTTCTATTCATGAACCAGTTCTGGTTCCGAATTGCACAACCACCAAATATGACTTTACTAGACGGACCAAGTGTGCAACCATGTTTGGCTGTCACAGCTGTTGACAGTCATAATAGTTGGCTAATTTGGGGATGGTTAGATCGGAAATTTGTTATTCCTGCAAGGATTATCGGTTCCTTACTGTCAACTGACAACCATGAGACTATTTGAAAAGGTATGACATGTTTGTCACCGGGAGTACTAAGGTATCGCGAAAGTGCCGTGACCTACTTACAGGCCCTATAGGAGCCTGATGCAGATCCTAGACGTTGACCAATTTAGCGAAACCACAACCACGGGTATGCTGCTGATGCAAAATATAAAATAACATAATTTGGGCAAACTGCGGCTATGAACCCACATTTGCAACACTCCCTTGTGAATAGACCGATCCAGTCTGTCAATCAAAACTGGCGCATGCGTCAATTTTGGCCAATCAGCAGGCCGGGCGCGCTGTGTGGATTTGTCAGACTTATTTCCGGGGTCAAACGATGCCTCCGAAGCGATGTGCTTCGAATTATGCCATTTACACTCGTTTTAGCTATTACATATTGCTGTGATTTGATGTGTACCTTTAACAAAACCATTACGATCAAGACAAAAAAATTGAGGCGGATCAAGGAATGCGATAGGCCTAACGAGCAGTTAAATGTCGGCACCGTCGTTCCGCAGAAACCCTCGTCTGCTTTCGAAGGTCGCGAATTTACGCAATTTAAACACTTTCGCACATGTGCAAAAGATTTACCAATAGATGACAACAAATAGCAGTTTAGGATTTTGCAAGTGTTATAAACCACGGAAAATTCTTGTAACTACAAAATTGTTTTGCTTCATGTTTTTAGTCACTACTGGGCATTGAGTTGGTACACCATCAACCTGAAATGACAAATCTGATAGCGAGCTGATTTAGGTTAGGAATTAGGCCGAAATAGCAAAACTTGTTACATTAAAGAACAATGTGGTGGATATGGTTGCATTAGCGATTAGATATTCTTAAATTTGTCACACATTTTAGGATGTTTTAAAGTTTCAAAAGCACAATCTGAAGGCCTATGTACAGTACAGTATCTAAAGCGGTTGCCTATCACGCAATATCCAAACATCAAAACTACAGTAATTCAAATGAGTGTCTATAAAACCATGTCTTAAATATTTCAAAATTTCTATAAAAGAGATGGGACTTTGAATTGATTTAGCTTACTTCATGTGGATCGGAGACGAGAAGAATAGTGACTTTCTGGAATATCGGACGGAGTGAAATATAAGTTTATTTCCTAACTATGAGAACATTATTTGTTTTGATTTTTTGTCACAGCATAATTATTTTACATGTAGGGTTGGGGTGGGGGTTTGGGGTACATTGGTACATTTTAGGAGTAATAACATAGTTCTGTCATTTTAATTATAATTCACTGGAAATGATAGCAAGGTATGTTTTTAGAATCTTGCCTCCTTCAGGAAACGTGGAAAGGTAATAAGATAGATAATAATCCAATCAATTATAAATAATTACTTAATTGACTCACATATCAGATTCATGTGAATTTAAGGCAGAACTAGGCAAACAAACACTATATACATATCATGGCTGAACAATCACTTGGTACTAAGATAGCTAGTTTGTTTTAAAGAAATATTTGGTCTTTAAATAATATGTTTACTAATGAGATTATTCAGCGA